GATGGCCATACAGTAATGTTAATTTCACGACGTTAAAGTACCTTACATGATGTCGGCGGCAAAAAAATCAGTGCGTCAGTGAGTTATAAAAATATACGTAAAAGTGGATTTGGTGTTGGCTTTGGGAGGTCTTTGACCACTGAAACACCTTCGAAGTCAAAGTTTTATTATCTCGTGATAAAACTGAGTTGGACAGAAGTCGAAGTTAACTTCCACCATTTGCACTTCAACAAAAAAAATGCGTGTTAAAATATATTGAAGCAAACCTTCATTCACCAAGCTTATATAATCCGCGAAGAAATTGCTTAAAAATCAGAAATGTGGGGAGGTTCTGTTTAACCCACTTCGCCAATTCGCAAATCTATTTCTTGGGGTGTGAAGTTTCAGTTTTCAGTATAGGACATTTCCAAATCTGCGAGTTTAAAAAAGCTGTTGTCCATAAGGTTATTGAAACACACTTCCATTAATGCGGTAGGTGTAAATACAGATTATCTGATATTAACAAACGGTATTTGTTACTCATTTCTGCTTTATCCTAAAGAAGAAAAGAAACAGAGTGGATTACTGAATAGTGAGAAACGTTGCTGTGATACTAAAAAGCTACAGTAGTTAGTGTCTATTTATCGTCTATATTCACCACGTTTGGTCCCGTTTATCTCAAAAGAGGAAACCACCAAGCGCCAAAAGTACTCTGTACAATTACTGCACAAAGATGCTCTAAAATCGTTATTTTTCTGACCTGAAAAAACAGGATCAAAACAGTTCAGTAGAAGAAAAAAACGCCTACCTTATCCAAAATTTCTCATTGCCGTAACTAAAACATCACATCGCCCAAACCGTCATTGACTCTTTTACAGTAAGGTATTTTTGTTCACATGAAAACAATATTGTGTAACCAAATTGATGAACTTTCTTTCAGCAGCCGTTTCAACCCGGTCTTTGCTAGCTTTTGACAGGTTGGAGGAACGCTCTTCTCAATTTATATAATATTCACGCTTTTATTCCATTATTTTGTTTAAGTTTTAAGAGATGCGATTTCAATATACTTTCTTTCACAAAGGGTTTAAACAATTATGACGTCGACAAATGGGTTCAAATCTGAATGATAATATTGGAAAAATACATTATTTTTGCTCTAATAAGTTTTTCTTTACAGCAACAGCTGTGTGTCCATTAAAACCTACTGACCTTCTCCTGAGCATATTCCAACAAGCTCGAGTTTGATTGGTTGCTTGAAAAAGAGGCTATGTACCGAGCAGTTTTTGGAGAGGGAAAAATGGTGACGGGCCGAAGTTTGTGTGAATCTAACAATGTAGCAAATTTATATGGTATCGAGCGGCTATGTATTTTAAGTCACGTAGACTGATAGACATAAGAAAAACGTTACGTTTGTGATAAGTTTGCACTTGACCACAGAAACGTATGATAGCGCTATAATCACACCGGATAAATCACTGTCCTGCGTGGACGAGCTGTATCTAGAGGATAGCACCATATCACCTTTTGAACAATTGGGGCCTGTAAATTAAATTGTCACAACTTGGTAGAAAAAATAGTATTATCAGTTCCTTAGTTTAGAGAGGAGATGTTTCTAGTTGGGTTTAGTGCTTGAAGAGGTAAAAAACCTCTAGTCCGTGCGCTCCCGGCCTTTCCACCAAATCTATCACTGTCTGTTTCCACGCCGGCCTGGCTTTGCAATATAAAAAAGCTCAGCATCAACCCAGTGGCTAGACTGTTTACAGTCCTCTATTTTCCCGTAAGATCGTCGAGATCGAGCGCTATGTGTTACGTGCTGCCATCTTGCATGAGTGTCAAAACTACTTAGGGGGCGGGGGCGGTTTGGCGGTTTCTCGCCCCCCACAGCTATAATCCCCGACGCCCGCCCCCTCGGTACATTTGAAAATCAAGATACCCGTGACGGTAAGACGCGGTATATCTAAACGATCTCACGAAAAAATAGGGAACTGTGAACAGTCTACCCAGTGGCATGGTGAGGGGAATGAGTCCTTTTTGACCGATTATGTTATAAAGGTCATATCTTACACAAATCTAAACCCGGAATCTTGACTTCTAACAGTGAAGTCCATTTTGTTTTGTTAACTGGTAGTTTTATTTCATCACTTTCAATACTATTGAATTCCCAGTGCAAAGACGACAGGCATAACGGTAACCAGCTCGCAAATCGAAAAAACTTCACCCCACCCCACACCGTATTCGTTGTTGCACGTCACCTGATACGTTCATGAAGTGTACCCTCGCTGTCGTTGTTTTGAAGGTGGAGTACAAAACGCTTTCAAGTCTTTGAGAGCCCTGGGAATTACTTTTTTTTGTGTTTAATTGTTCATGAGTTTCCAAAAAAAGGTAAGATATTTTTCGCCCTTTGTGTCTTAGTGTAGCACGAAGCGAATATTCGCTAAACAGTATCTATACCACTGCTTCAACAATGCTAAGTTCAAGGCGCTTAACTTCAACTTAAGTTTATACGCGCTTGGTTTTCTCTAGGCAAGCTGGCCTCGCTGAGTAAGATATAGCCAAAATCTTTAAGTTTATTTTACCGGAAGAATTAGTTTATTCTCCCCGTTACCAATATGATATTTATACATCAAATATTGTCGTTATTGTCGATTGAGTTTCTTGAAATTACTCCATGATGCGTTTGAGCAACACAATACATGAGATCTTTGTCCGTACAAGTTGATTTACGTAGCCCTCCTCTTTAGTTCGTCTAGTAGAAGGTTTAAAAGTATTTCATAAACTGATACTATGGCATGGACTTTTGCCTGATGATGACTAATATAAAAACGTTCAGTTTAGTTTTCATGAAGCTGCTGTGTTGCTAGCGTGTTCAAGGCAAAGGGAAAAAAGAAGGGTACTTTGGGAGACCCCCCGTTTTTATTGCAGGGCCTTGCAGGGGCATTTTGCAGGACGCCGAGAAATTGTCAGCGGTGTATGTTATGAGCGTAATAATATTCCATATTTCATTCACTTATTTTGCCTGGAGCTAATAGACCATGTCACTGTTTTCGAAGCCATCTTGACAAGTAGGCAAACGTGTGAGAAATAACAGTGTTTGTATGAGAATCTAATGTCGAATCATTTCCGCAAAACGGCTGTTCTGAAAAAAAATATCAATTGTAAACTAAAGCTACAAAGCAAAGGATTGTCGTAAAAAAAATTGGGGGGCATACCGGTACTTAAATTTCTCCAGAGGCTTGGTTTAGATTTTCCATATATTTGTCTGTAATTTTCCTGGCACTTTCTTACAGACAAATGTATAGAAAATTTTAAAAAGTGGTTCTAGGTCTTCTAGTGCATGTAACGCCCTCAAATTTTTTTCAGGAGAATCCTTAGGAGCGAAGCTTTAGTTTACAAATCATATTTTTTTCAGAACAGCCGTTCTACGGAAATTATTCGACATCAGATTCTCACACAATCACTGACAGTAATTTCTCAGGTGTTCGCCTACTCGTCAAGATGGCATCAAAAACCGTGACAAGGTCTATTCAGAAATCAGCTTTTTATTCTAACGTAACTGTTTTTTTCCTTGCATGCAGCAGAAAAATTCATCAGAAAGGGCAGTAATCCGCTGAATCATGGCATTTTTGCAAGCAGGTCGTAAAGTTGTGTTATCTGTGGTACGGCAGTCTGGGGTCAAATTGTTGCGAACAGCACCAGTGGCCTTGCAAGAAAGTCATAATCAGAATGGATTTCATGGTTGGTGTTATGAGCAGTTATTTTCAAATTATTTCAGTATGTTTTTTAGTTAAGAAACTGTAGACTGTCAGAACTCCTTATTATGACGTGAGATTGGGGACATAATGGACAGCCGTTCTTTGTAGGGTGGGTAACCTCTTCGCTGGGTGGTTTGAACTATCCTTGGTAGGGTGGTGTGGTTTCTTGTAGGGTGGGTTACTCTAGGTCAAGGTGGTTTTTCAATTTCGTTGTAGGATCGCCCTGTTCTTCGCAGGGTGGGTCACTTTACCGTAGGGTCACTGTGAAGGTCTAGTCACTTGCAGTGCAAAGGGAGTACCTTCATTTCTCAGTTATTTTAGAACCCTGAGTATCGGTCTGGCCCCAGGAATCAAACCCGCAACCTCTCACTCTGTAATCACACGCTGTACCGACTGAACTAACACTGCCGCTGTTGTGCCTTAAATTTAGCAAGTGCTCTGGGTTCCAAAAGATTTTGCTTGTCACTTGAGAAATATAATAGTTGTTTCTTTCTCTGTCTAGGTTTGGAAAACTGTTTTGTTTGGGATGATAAACATGGTTTTGGCTACAACAAAGATGGAGAAGTTGTCATTGTTAAGCCAGATATAGAAGTTCCAAGCCAGATGTTTAGTTCTGGTACAGCTGGTAGCTATGACTACCAGCTTGAAACAAAGAGCTTTGGTCAAACATGTGAGTATAGTGAGCTTCTTCCTTAGTAATGTTGTTTTAAAATAAGATAGGGAAATCACCAATGCAGGTGAAAGCTACTATCGAGGTCCTATCTGTTAAGACAATAATCATGAAATAGTAGCAGTCAAATTTCCATCAGAAAAGGAAGTGAATATAATAACAAATAACAATAGCTCCCTGGACCATGGAGGCATGGGGTGCCAGAAGGAGCAGAAAAAAAAGTTGGAGGTGGTGTGAGTGTGTGTGTGGGTGTGGGTGCAGGTGCAATGGGGGGAAAGGGGAGAGGGTGGGGGCAGAAGAATGGAAGGGGATGCCTGACAGTTAGTTATGACATTTTCTGAATGATGTTTAGCGACATGAGGTGTAGCACCTTTATTAGTCAGAAGCCTCTCAATAGGAAATTATGACAGATTTTTAGCAGAATTGGTATTTAAGGTGCATCACAATTATGGGTGTAAAATTATTTCCCTTGCTTCTTAAGAAGTGTCCTCTCTATATACCTATATCAAAGCTTATTATGGCAGGAAATCTAGAATATTCACAGTTGAAATATCATTTCAAATAAGTTTAACAGTAATAATTTAACTGGTTACACTAATATTGGTCATCCTGTTTATTGTTAGACATGCCAGATATGAAGGAAGTGAAAGAATTCCCCCCTCAACTATTACAAGATGATTTTCTGTACTCAGATTCAGATGATGAAAATTTTCCTGCCTGTGCTGGTAGCAAATTTTAAAATAACAACACAGAATTCTCAAAATCAGTGCAACTATAAGATAAGCAAGATAAGTGTTCCACTTAAATAATACATTTTCCATTGAATACATAAGCTTACATGAATTGTTGGCTAGGTTGTCAGAATTCTAGAATTGTGTTTCTAGAAGTGTGTTTGAAAAGCTGACCATTCTTTGTACACAAGTCAAATCATGAATAATACTATGGTCTGGTTTACATGAGCAATGCAAATGCAAAAGCAAACACATGCACAAGAGAACACTGTTTTACTTAAAAACACCAACAGAAATTATCACAGGGTTTATGTTTTGCATCAAACACTCTTCAACTTGAGTGATGCAAAGGCATGAACGAAAGCAAGTTGAAATATGTTTTTTTACCAAGTTGGGATGCAGGATGCCCAATAAATTGTTTGTGCATTTCTCTCTATGCTTGCTTGCATGCTAGATTATGTATGAACAGTCTACTTGCACTTCTGTTTGTGTGGCTCATGTTACCCAGTCTTGTATATACTGAGAGTATTTATGATGCAGTGCAGCAATTTGAAAAAATTGCTTCAAGATTAACGTTTGATGGCTTCATGTCATCATATCAAGAGTTAAGAAATTAACATGATTTGTGCCTACACTCAACACTCAAGCGGACTCCGTCAATGCAAAACTCTTTATTTAATTGTCATTTTTCCATTTTCACACTTCAATTTACATGCAGTTTTTGCACTTTCTTTTTCTATCCATATAACAGAATCCCAATTTCTTTCATTTGATAATGACGACATGAAGCCATCGAAATGTCAAGGTGATTTTTGTTTTAAAATGTCTTTCTAAATTGATGCTTATAATAGTATTTGTACATAAAGCACAAATTTTGTCTCTAGTTTAATCAAAGTTTAGATGAAGGAAGCAAAAACTTGGCTTTTTAGATAATATGCTTGCAAAAATTATTTTACTTACAAGATATTGTCATTTGGGCTGAAATAATAAACTATTTATTGTACTAGATTTGAAAATAGGGATTTTGTTGATCCAGTTTCAAAGAAATGAACTTTGTATAGTGTTGAGTAGATTATAATATTTCCTACACATCATATGGCTTGAAAAGCAATTTTTTATAACACATTGTTTTAATAAAAACACATTATGCCTTAGGGACCATTCACTTTATGAGAAAGGTTAAAAAGTACTAATGGGCGTTCGTTTGTTCCAATGTCCCCCCAAAAGGTTTTTTCCATTTTCAGATTTTCCAAATGCATTCAACTAGAAGTGCATATTTTAACAAGTCACTCTTCAACTGCTGCTGACAGATGAATAATGACCATTTTTAAGACACTGGATATTTTTAAGTATTATTGAAAGTGTTCCTATTTTTTTCCTTAAAAGAAAGACATTTGCAATGCATAACCAGACTTCAGAGATTTTAAAAAGAGATAAGAAAGTGCTGCCCTTGCTCTGACATCTGCAAATGATCTGACCTTAGTTCTTTTCGAACATTGGAGAGCACTTTGCACCTAATAAATCACCATCCATCAGACAAGTATGAGGGAAACCAATATAGAGATTTACCCGGTGGATAGCATTATCTACCTTTAGAACAACTGTGGCCTGACTTTCTAGTTTTCTGGGGTAAGGAAGAAGGAAGAAGTTTCATCCCATGGTACATTAACTCTGTCTTTGTGAGACACACCCCTGACTAGTAAGCGGAATGTTTTCAATGGGTAGACATGATAGAACCATAGCGTCCCATCTGTGCCCATCCCCTTGGATAGGTCTGAGCACAGAAATGCTGGTAAAAATCTCTCTCCCCTACCACTAAACTACACTGCACCAGGAAAATCTACTAAAATTCCTCAAAGGATAAATGTATTGAATCTTCTTTAATGTTAATTCAACTTGGTAAGCATACTTTACATCTTAAAGACTTGGGAAACAGACCTCACCAATATTTCTTTTCCCTTGAGAAAACGTTTTTAATTTTTCTGTTCAATTCCTTTTTTCTTTCATAAATTCTTGACTACATTTTCTCAGATCTTCTTGACCATGCATTTCATTGACAAATCTGAGGCTTTCCTCATATGTGGCCTGGAATAAGCAATCCCAGTCCCTGATGTTGTTTTTATTGCCTCATCATTAACATGTGCTGTTTCAGTTTGTGTCTCACTGTGCTTACACATTTGTGTTAATTTTTCCTTCATACCGTAAAGGATCAAAATGTAATCAAATACAAAAAACTTTGAAAATCCTCTTTGATGGCAGGTAATGACTGTAGAATTGTAGATGTCAATCAGTAAGCAGGTTATTATTTATCGCTGGCCTTTTTCAGGTGTCTTGTACACCGGAGCAGTTGATTTAGGAAGTGGGGGATTTCCTAAAATGATATCTGCTGCCTTCTCTGCAATCATAATAGTTGGCCCATTGAGATTTCCACTAGCGATGGTTGGCATTATTGACGCATCCACAACCCTCAGATTTTCCACCCCTAAGACTTCTAATTTGTTATTAACAACAGCCATTGGATCATCTTCAGCACCCATCTTACAGGTGCATGATGGATGATAAGCAGTATCAGCATTCTGTCTCACCCATGCATCAATCTCATCATCACTTTGAACATGATCACCTTGAATTAATAAAATAACATTTAAAATAAGGTATTGTAGAAAGAGATGAGGTAGTTTTTTTTCATTAACTTATGACTAAGCCAAGGGCTCCAGCTATCACTGGAATTTCTACTGGTTTTAAAGCTCTGCATGATGTACAGTATACACCCTTATAATTTTGTACATGTAGGAAGGGCCATAACTAGCACAAGACTCGACTCCGTCCAAGAAGACTGAAATGAACTAGACTAATAATGATTTCTTTAATCCCAAATTTACTTACACAAGGAGCAATATTACAACCAATTATTCAGTGGAATAATAATCCTCTCAACTGGTTACTTTGTCTAATTAATTCATGCATTTCCACACTACAAAATGACAACTTTTATCCTTGACCCTTACCTGGCTGAAGTTCTTTTCCACGGAATGGATCAAAAGCCTTTTGGTTGAATATTTCCCTTGTAAGCCTAATGCTTTCTCTTAATTCTTTTCTGTCTTCCTCAGTGGACAGGTAATTGGGATTGATAATTGGATGATCGTAAGGGTTTACAGACTTGAGTTTTATATACCCACGACTTGTGGCTCGCAGAGAACCAACATGAACCTTTAAACGAGAAAAAAGAAGTTAATCATTCCGATCTATGTACCTTACAAGTTAGATTAATTAATCTTAATTTCTTAATATTGCACAGTGCAAATTAATGATGTGATTAATTTCCTCCTGCACTGTATAACATTATAAATTGGCACAGAGAAACTTGGTAACTAGATTAGCAAAATCATTTGATCCTTTGGAATTAGCCACCTTTAAGGCTCACTACCTTTTGACGGAGGCAGCGTGGCCGAGTGGTCAGCGTATCGGACTTGCAACCCAGCAGTCCCGTGTTCGAATCCTGCTCTGATGACTTGCTGGATTTGTTCTTGATCGTCCCAAGTTCAAATCCTCGGCTACACTTGTAAATAGCCAACTGGTTGCCTCCTGCCAGTAGTGGTTTTTAATCCTGTTATGTTGTATTTGAATTATTTGCTTCTAAGTATTACTACTTATTAAAATAAGAAAGCTTGCTACTTTGGGAAGCAAAGAAGCATTCTATAAATTATGTTGGCACAACTGAGCTTCTTTCTGAGGGAATAAGATAAGTAGTTCCATTTTCATGTTGCTACCACATGGGTAGCTCCCCATCTCTAGACCTTGTTTTCAGTGGTTGTCACACATTCAGAAAGAACTTCAAGATCGTTAATTGCAGTGACATTGGCTGGGATAAACACTCACCTGAAAAGCTTCTTTTTCTACAGTTACTCTTCCATGATCCTTAAAAGCTGAAGGTAAGAAGTGGTACTGAATGTTTGGATAAGGTATGCCTTCTCTGCTACGAATAAATCCACCAGCCTCAAGATGAGCAGTTGCACAGGGCCCAGATCGAGTAAGAAACCACCTGATACCAATAGGAGCCATGTTCCACCATTTGAGAGATCGGTACAAACTTAAGGGCTGAGTACACTCCTAACAAATATAATTATTTGTAACATTTGTAAGGACATGCATGACTATACTATCAAATAGCAGTTTAGGGCCTTGAAAGTTGGTTAAGTCTAACCCAGGGTAAAGCAAATTTTTTTTTTTTTTTGCTTATGAACATGTAACTGGGGCTTAGAAAGTATTGCTTGAATGAGCCTATACTCCAGTTATGATTATAACACAAAATGATTCTCTAAACTACAAATATTGGTGACAAAATTAGTTGAGACAATTTGCGTAAAGGGCGTGTCTAATGTTTTTCTTTCTTAAAAAGAGGAAAAAATAAAGCTTTTCCTCCCTTATCCTCTCCATGCAATGTTGTGCCGCTGTTCAAGCTATCTGTAGGAAACAACAAACACCCCAACTTTGAATGGATTGAGGGAAAGGAGGAGGGGTGTGGATTGTTTTGTTCTCCATCTCAATTTTGTCACCCATTGTAGAAAGACTACAAATAGGTAAAAAGATAAAGGCGTACATGAGCCAAAGGCTCACATGGCCGGAGCTTATACCAGTTTCTGTAGCATGAAGCAAACCTAGGAGTATTGCTACTCCCCCTGGATGGGATGCTAGTCCCTCGCAGGGTTACCCCCAGCAGTATGTCGCCGGTACCCATTTATACACCTGCGTGAAGAAAGACAAAGTGGAGCAAAGTTCCTTGTCTAAGGAAACACCAGATCCAGAGTTCGAGGTGTCAACCATTTGGCCACACACGCCTCCACTTGACTAGAAATATGTTTCTCACATAAAGGCATCCTTTTTTTCTTTCACTGTCAATTTTATACTGATAAAAAGGAAATCCACATACTGTACAGTACCTGGTGAAAATACATCTCTAAATGATCCTGGAAATTCTCTCCAACACCAGGAAGATGAACCCTCACAGGGATACCAAGCTTCTTCAAATCATCTGCATTTCCAATACCAGACAAGTTCAGTAACTGAGGCGAATTAATGGCTCCAGATGTTAAAATAACTCCTTTTCTTGCCCTTACACGTTTCAGCTGTCTTCCTAGATGGAACTCAACACCTACAGCTCGATTATCCTCAAAGACTATTTTTGTAATCATAGCACCAGTCTCTGTTCGTAGGTTTCTGCGCTTGAGTGCGGGTCGAAGGTAAGCATTTGCTGAACTCCAACGTACACCTTTATGGATTGTCATGTCCTTCCATCCAAATCCTTCCTGTTGATAGCCATTCATGTCATTTGTGAAAGGATAACCAGCTTGAGTGCCAGCATCAATAAATGCTTGATAAAGAGGATTGTCTGATTTGCCACGTGATACGTGCAGGGGACCATCACCTCCTCTGTAATCATCTGGGCCTAAAAATAATTAGAAGGACACAAATATCATTGTATTTTAGTCCCTGCCTCAGTAAGGCCCCTGTGACTAGACTGGCCAAAGGTGAAGTTCTCAGCTACTATAGGTGCTAGTTTGCAGGCATGATTTAACAGTTGTTTGCCAAACCAAAAAATGAACAAAAATAAATGACAATGATAATGACAACAAAATATAACTTTAAATAACTTAAGCTCAATATTGGTAGAATTTTATGACAATAATTACTTTGTACATAAAGCTGTGATGACTCTAAAATCATGGTGGGGAGAGGTTTTGTTCCAGTATTTGGGGTTAAAAAAAAAAAAAAAAAAAATGCACTTTTATTTGAGTGTCAATGTATTTAGCACAAAAGTACTAATTGGGGACACTATATTTTACGTTTCCAACTGGAGACGGGACCGCCATTTTACGTGGTCATCCGAGCCACGCGAAGGTCTAGCCTGTTGCAGTGCAAAGGGAGTACCTTCATTTCTCGGTTATTTTAAGACCCTGAGTATTGGTCCGGCCCCAGGTGACCTCCCGCTCTGCAGTCAACACGCTCTACCGACTGAGCTAACACTGCCGCGGTAAAAATTTTTAAACACATTTCATTTTTTCAAGGTGTTGGCCTCACAGGGAATTGCTTACCTAATTCATGAGTCTGTGACTTTCTAAAATATGGCAAACAGTCAGCATATGACCAGCCCTTAGCGCCTTGCTTCTCCCAGTTATCATAATCATAAGCATGACCTCTGATGTACACCATAGCATTCAAAGATGACGATCCACCCCACACCCTACCCCGAGGTTGGTAGATGCGCCTGTGAAATATAGGTGATTTAAATTATTGGTTTTATTCTTTCACTCCTAATGGTGGGCAAAGGAGACAAAAATCACAAAAACATTCAAATTCCATTTTTGTAAAATTCTAAGCAAACGTTCTGCTAAAGAGGTTTTGTTTGAACGGTAAAACCACTGAATTTCATTCACAGAATGATTTAAAAGTTAGAGTGGCAATAATCTCACCATGATGTGATCTTGGAGTAAAAACGATAATTAAAAGGTAAATGTACAAATCTCATTCACAATTGGTCACAATAGGGTTCTTCAATCCCATGATCCTGAATTCCAATGGTTATTTTTGGCATCCTTACTCCCACGCATACTTTCAATCCCGAATCTGCCCCCAATTTTGCTTTAAAATCCTGAATCCCGAGCTTCAAATAGGGGAAATCCCAGATCCCCCAAAAAAGCTATTGGGAACCTGGCTCACTTAAGACTGAATACCCTTCCATGGTTTTTTGAACTTTTAATAACAGTTTATTGACATTTAAGTTTGAGCAAAAAAAAGTGATATTTCAAAAATTAACACAGGGCACCAGTTTTAGAAAGCATATCATGCTGTTGTTTGCGGGTATTACTAGTCAACGGTTATCACAATAATAGTGGCTAAGGTGATAAGCTGTTCAATGCCAGAGGTGTGTTATGCTTTTTTTTAATAAGTAGAGTAAATGAACATCATCTTATTACCTGTTGTCCATAAACTCTTGTGGTTCTGTTTCATAATACCAGTTATACTTTTTGTCACAAAGATTATAGATAAGTGCAGCAGGCATGTGGATTTTCCACGTCCAATCTTTAGGACCTGCCTCCAGAAGAACAACTTTGTTGTCAGGATTTGCTGAGAGACGGTTTGCCAGGACACAACCCGCTGATCCTGCTCCACATATCACATAGTCATGGCTTGAAGAAAACTTCAGGGTGGATAAGAGACATTTTTGATGAAAATTTGCTTGATACGCTGAAGACAAAATAAAATTATTGTATGAGTAATATTAGGCCGTAAACATCATCCAGATTACATGGAAGATGCAAAAAGAAGGTAAAGGTGCAGTAAGAGCCATGAAGCTCACACAGGCAAAACTTTCCCCAGTTACTGTCACAAGAAGTATCTAGGAGTATATCTGCTTCCCTCCCTAGATAAGATACTGAGGGGGACATTGGGGCGTACCCAATACCGTAAGAAAAACTGGCAAATACCGAGATACCATGTCGAAAATAGACGAAATACCGATACTGCATTTATGACTGGTCACTCTTACTTAAAGTTGTATCCATCCAGGGTTCTCGTTTATCTCAAGCATGTATGCACCACAAATCAACCTCAGCCATAATTGCAAGAAAATGTGAGAAGACCTTGACTTTATCAGTGCAACAATTGAAAAGCCCGGCCATTGGATGCAGCAACAATTCTATTGTAGAACAACTGTCACAAATTGTGTAATCATTTACCATTAAGTGTAAAGTAAAGTTTTCCAAATATTGACATGCTTTAGACAGGAGAACTTACAGTGAAGGATCTTCCTTTACCAAATACCATTAGCCAGAAGGATAAGAAACCACATACCGCAGGGGTAGATATTAGCACAATACTGCACATTAAAATCAAAATTACCGAAATGCTTCTTGAAAAAAAGCTCAATACCGTTACACCATAAACCCCCATATCCCACTCAATACTACGTAGACCTGTGTATAATCACAGTAATTTTCCCGGCAGAGTGTTTCTGGCTCTCATTTGTAAACCTTAGTGAAGAAAGACAAATTAAAGTGAATTGAGGAGAGCAATATTTCTTATGTCATGAAAGATATTGACTCAAACCACGACCCACAGATCTGAAGTCCCACACATTAACCACTCCGCAACCATGCCTTAACCATGCAGGACATGTTTCAGTTTCAATCAGACTTTATACAATATAAAAAACATAGCATATACATGTAAAATCAAGTGGATGGAAGAGGTATATCATTCATTAGCAGATACTTGCCATTTAGTAAACGAAGTGATAATGGTAGCCATCTTTTCACATGGTATCTGTTCAGCAGTAAAAGGCTCATGGTATAACTCTAATAGCTACAAAAGATCATGATTAAAGCAAAACTTTGAGTCAAGACAACTCCAGTCTGTGTAACAGGTGCTTGAAGGGGAAGGTGGGGGTAGGAAGTTGGGTACACAAGAGGGCAGGGCTGTTACTGAGGAATGGCCGGGGACCAGGGATACCCCAGCTATTGTAAGCATGATCCCTGGATTCTTTAATAGGAAGTAAAAAGGAAATAAAACCAAAAGAACTTTTCATCTAAGTATTCAATTCCCCACCTACTTACTCAGTGCTTGTACCAGGGATCACATTCCTATGCACCCCTTTCACAGACCTACATATAATTAGGGGCTAAGATACTGTAACTACATATGAGTTTGGTCATATTGTTTAACTGAGAATTAACAAATAGTAACTTAAATAGCATGAGTGTGGAAGTGCATTTTTACAGCAGAGCGACAAAGTATTTTCCCCATTTTTTTCACAGCATTAAACCCAAAATGAAATTCTTTCCATATTGCTTTTGTGGTCGTCGGCGGGATTTTTCATAGAAGCACTTGAACCAGGGGACTTTGTCTTGTTAAATTCTTCTCCTCCTGGAGGAAATTGTCACCTTAAATATGCCCATTTTACAATTCAATTCCCCTGGTTGGCCTGGGGTCCTACCACTTGGGGAAGCCAATGATAGGTGCATTACATGTAAGTCTGATGTTCAGCTCAGTCAAACTCAATGTTTTGCCAGATGCTGACGTTTTGTCTGACAACAGCTTTCGTGAAACAAGACCCAGCATCTTAGTGGTACAATCCAACCAAAAGAGTCATAGAATCCCCCCAGGGGGAGGGGGTTATGTAATACTTCCTAACTCTTTTCATATAAAACAACATGACAACACGGGTGAAAGGGCTGCATGTTATTTTGCTGTTAATTTCTTTTAAGCCTGCAGCTTAGTGAAAAATAAAAGACACTATTTAAACATCATGCATGAACAGTAGAAATGAACTTCTCAATGACTTCTCTTAAGCTTACCTAATCAACGATCGATTGTACGGTTTGTGCTTGCTTAATGTAAAGCTGATACCATTAGCAGACTGAGGAAAGTCACAATGATGGCAGATGTCAAGTTCAAGAGCTATAAACGCTGAAAATAAAATACAGTACATCAATCGGAAGAGAAGGATCCGACTATATCCAAAAATTAACTGTGAAGACTGCTCGGATGATTGAAGACCTGGAAACTTGTACCCAAGCCTCGAACGTGATTTGCACACAGGTGTCCCAAGCTTATGCTATGTTCAGGCTTAAAGCCCAGTCAGCCCAATGTTGTGGTTTGGCCAGGCTAAGGTGCGCACAGTTTATTTTCATTGCTTTTAGCTTTTATTGTTTTTGCTATTGATCTTTGATCTTTGACAATTTTCAGGTTAGCCTGAATTTCAGACATTCCTTCCGGTCACATACTCCTCTAAAGGAATGTCTGAAAGTCAGGCTAGCGTAAAGGTAGCTACGCCCCTAAAATTCGAAGACGTAGGGGTCCTCCACTCTAAGAAATGGGAGGTACGGTGCACATGTAGTCCCCACATCGTACCACAAGGTGTCTTATCCGAGAGGATCTTCGGAGTGTTTCGGACAAATCTCTTTATTTTATTTATCATAAAATTTTTTTCAACAGGTTCAGTAAATATTTCTCAGTAGCTTAAAATATTTAATGTAAAGTGCCATTAAAGTATATTTTTAGCGGGCTTTGTATCGCGGGGTCAGACCAGACCACTAAATGAAACACCAACTATTCGCATGGTTCACATTTTATTACAAAGATTCATTTCTGACCATTTCTCAGTGATTGTAGCCTGCGTCACATACCAGATAAAACTGACCGAGATTCAGTAACGTCTGTAACACAGACTGATTCATTTCCCACTCTTAATTGGATCTTGAGGAAGCCTTAAGCCTGTAAATGGTACCCCTTTTCAGCCTGATTAACTTTATAGGAAAGGAGATCAGTTAAAGGACAAAGTCGAGAGCGAGAAGAGAGCGGGTCAGGGTGTTACGGTCTTCCCATTTGCTTTCTCATTTCCCCTTTTCCAACAAAAAAAACACGGCCTGTCACGTTTTTTGCGTGATCGCGATAGAAGCGCGACACGTGACTGACATTTTTTGGACGCTATTTCTCCGTCATCCTCGGAGACCCAGGGGCACATATAATAGTGGGGACGAGGGAAACCGTTTAGACTTTCCCTCGCCCCCTTTATCTGCCCCTGGGTCTCCGAGGATGTTTCTCCGTGAAACTATTTCTACGTGGAACTGTTGTGCTTGCAGACGAGTGAACAGTTCTTTCATTCAAGAGGATTAAATTCCCTTTGCACCATGGATGGTAAGTTGTTTGATCCAGCGTAGCATACATTTGAAAATCGCCAGCTTTGGCACGTTATTGATGGCTAGACACTATAATTTGAGGATCGAGGCGCTGTTTAGTGAGAAACTAACGCCCACGCCATTTGCAAAGTTTTCGCCAATTGTTAAAATATCGCAGCGTTGGTTCGAAAAGCTATTAATAAGGTTAACCCGTTTGACACGATAACCTAAAATTGTTTTTTTGAGTAGATCGAAGGACTGTAATATTAATAAGGTTAACCCGTTTGACACGATAACCTAAAATTGTTTTTTTGAGTAGATCGAAGGACTGTAATAAAATGAAACCGCAAAGATATTGTCGTCTGTTCGACAGCCGATATCTCGACGATAAGAAAGAATTTCGTGCCTGTGTGAACACTGTCCGACTGAGAATGAACGTATCATACAGATTTAGGAATGATCTTTTTATGTATTATTTTAATAAGCCTCTATCCAGCTAGACTGCGAGCAGTCTCTCTTTTCGAAGCCGCGAGAGGCGCGAAACGAGAGCGGCAGCTTAAAACGTTCCACTGCAGCAGTTGGCGAGCATTGAATGTGATGCGGCAAATCCAGACCTTAAAAACCTCATTAACTGAACAGCATAACAGATTTTCGTGGAACATTTAGAACACACTCGGTTTGACTCAAACAAACTTTTCTCGCAGGAAAAGCCGAGTTCTTTGCTCGACGGACTACAGAAAAAAGAGAGACTGCTTGTAGTCTACTATCCAGCCAATTACATTTTTAGTCCTCAAGTGTCGAACATTGAATCCTGACGATGTTGTGTGGGTTTTTCCGTTAAAAAAAATTACAAGGCGTATTTCTGGGCCTTTTTGAGGTCTGTCTTTTACTGTTCATTTTACAAACGTAAATAACGTGTGTTCGTGACGTAAAAACTTCGTTTTGTTTTGTGAATACATAATTAACTGTTGCCATTAGGGACTTTAAGCAACGGGGACGGCGACGGGGACTCGAAAACCCCTAAAAAGACTGGGGAGAGAACGCCGTTGTGGCGGGAATTTCTAAACGGTTAAGCAGCCATTACAAAACGGCGCTCATGATGTCTTTGAAAGAAGTTCGAAATCCACTTTTGATTAGCCACGATGATGGTGTGATAAACAAAGAGGAACTTCTACTCCTGTAAGATTTAAACAGGTCCGATAATCTTGATCTTCCGGATTCCGCACAATTCTTATCCTCATTTTGACTTCGATGATTTGGAAGACGACGAGTGCCTTTCAGAGTTTCGCTTCTACAAGAACAGCTTACCATTTCTGGCTGAAGTATTGGGGATTCCTGAGGTAGTAGAGTGCTATCAAAGAAATATCTGTAGCGGATCGGAGGCTCTTTGCATTTTTCTGAAGAGACATAGTTATCCTTGTCAATATTCAGACATGATAGCTCGCTTTGGGAAGCCTGTTCCAGTGTTATGCATGATAAACAACTACATGATCGACTACATCTACCAGGCACACAGTCACAGAATTTTGCAGTGGAATGATAGCATCCTCAACCCTCATTCACTGGAAATATACAGTAATGCCATAACAGCTAAGGGGTCCCCCTTGGATAACTGTTTTAAATGGCTTTATTGATGGAACAGTTAGACCAATAAGCAAGCCTGGCCAAAATCAGCAGATTGTCTACAATGGTCACAAAAGACTTCACAGTGTAACATTCCAATCCGTGGCATTACTTGGAAATATGTATGGACCAATCGGTAAGGGGAATGGAATATTAAATTACCCTTCAGTAAAAGACCTGAAAATTTTTTGATCTAAATGTTTTTAAGTTGTCTTTTTTTTTTCATAGAGGGCAGACGACACGATGCTGCCATGCTAGCAGACTCCAATCTTCTTCAAGATATGCAACGTTATACTTTTTCACCTAGGCCAGTGGCTCGTCCACTGTGTGTTTATGGAGACCCCACCTACCCATTGACGGTGCACCTCCAGACCCCTTTTAGAAACATGATACTCACCCCACAGATGGTAATTTTTAATAAGGCTATGAGCTCTGTGAGAGTCTCTGTAGAACGGCTATTTGGAGACATAGTTGAGTACTTCAAGTTTGTAGATTTCAAAAAGAACCTCAAGATTGGACTTTCTTCAATAGGAAAGATGTACATTGTTTGGGCCTTATTAAGAAATGCATTAACATGCTTATATGGCAACACAACCTCTGAGTTTTTTGAGCTGGATCCACCCACATTGGAAGGATACTTTGCTTAATTCTAGGGAGGATAAGGACTTGCCACACCTTAAAGAATATAAATACACTCTGCTGTGTGGGTTGATGGGATGGGGGGGGAGTATAATATCCTTTCTCATGTTTGACTCCAGGGGTACTTGAAAGTAAAAGTTACTGAGAGCTACATGTAGGTGCTAATGAAGTATCCGCAAGTGTGAGCGAGCTTTTAAGCTCCTCTGAAATAATTATTGTGATCTCCTTGACACAAACATCAAAAGTTGGCTCGAAGAATTTAAGGATGTTGTTGATAGGCGTGTCTTATGGGACTTGCTAAAATACAAAATTCGACAGCTCACTATAAGTTATAGCAAAACAAAAGCTCGGAACCGGAGAGCTAAACTTAATGAACTGGAAGAAAAATTACAGAACTGTACCAAAAAGTGTGACAATGATCCATCGAGACAAAATGTTGAAGATTTAGAATGCTTACAGGCAGAATACGACCAACTGTATGATTACATTACTCAAGGAGCTATTGTTCGTTCCCGTGCAACGTGGTACGAAAAAGGTGAAAAGAACAACAAATATTTTTTGAATTTGGAAAAATCAAATAAAAATAAAAGTTGTTTGCGGAAAATTTTAAAAAGCGACGGAACAATAGCAGTTGATCCTAATACAATTATGAGTGAATTAGATTTCTTTTACTCCAATCTTTACAAAGAGAATAATAGTCATTCATCGTCATTTCTAGATGACTTAAAGGAAGTTCCTACCTTGACTGAAGAGTTGCGAATGGTATGTGAAGGAAGGATAGAATATAATGAATGTTTTAATGTCTTACAATCCTTTCCAAAAAATAAAACGCCTGGGAACGATGGACTAACAATAGAATTCTATTTGGCTTTTTGGTCTTTGATTGGGAAACCTCTAGTAGATTGCATCAACTACTCTTATGAGTTTGGAGAACTTTCAAACTCACAAAAACAGGCTATAATCACATTAATTGAAAAAAAAGGAAAGGATAAACGAGTAATTAAAAATTGGCGGCCTATATCGCTAATTAACGTCGATGCGAAAATTATTTCTAAAGTTTTAGCGAAGCGCCTGGAAAAGGTCTTGCCAAATTTAATACATCCCAGTCAGAATGCATTTGTTAAAGGTAGGTCCATATTTGACGCAATTAGAACGATTGATGATATTGTGGATTACACCAAACGGAACAGTTGGTCGGGATTTATGATCGCAATTGACTTTGAAAAAGCCTTCGACACACTAGACTTTCGATTTCTAATCAGAACATTACACAAATTCAATTTTGGCCCATCTTTTATTCAGTGGATGCGTGTTCTGTATAAAAATGCATCCAGCTGTGTAATGAACAATGGATTTACGACTGGTCCTTTTCTACTAGGTAGAGGTGTCAGACAGGGGGATCCACTCTCCCCTTACCTCTTCATCCTAGCGCTTGAGACCTTAGCTATAAAAATAAGAGAGGACTGCAATGTACAAGGGCTTAAAATTGGAGAAGAAATGATTAAACTGTCTCTATTTGCAGATGATATGACCTGTATCTTAAAAGACAAAACATCTTATACAAATCTGTTTCGTATTCTCAACTCTTTTGGAGAGTGTTCCGGCCTAAAGGTGAATGATGAAAAAACAGAAATCATGCCTCTAGGAGATAATATCCTACAGGAGAAAGACTTCCCAACTCATAGTATTTGTGAGATCATAAAAATCTTGGGGATATATTTTGGTTATGATGATAGACAAAGGAACAACCTTAACTTTAGTCAAACTTTAAAAAGTATAAAGGAATCAATCAACGTATGGAAATGGAGAGGGCTCTCCCTTTTAGGGAGAATACAGATAGTCAAAACTTTCGCAATCCCAAAGCTTATGTTCAGAGCATCGGTTATACCAGTCTCTAAAGAACTAATTAAAGAGGCAAACTCAGTTCTCTACAACTTTATTTGGAATGGGAAGGACAAAGTGAAGCGTCTTGCATTGATATCTGATATAGAAATGGGTGGACTCAAAATGTTGGACATTCAATCTATGATTTGCGCTAAACGAATAACATGTTTAAAGAAATTATTGGAGGATTACTCAAGTCCTTGGAAAGTAATCCTAGACAAACTTCTGTTACCAGTCGGAGGACGTTTTGTATTGCATTGCAACTTTCAAACTTCTAAATTGAAAATCAGTCTACCAGCATATTATAAGGAATGCTTCGATGCGTGGTCGGAGGTTAATGGGAAGACTCCAAGTTGTTACGAGGAAATCATTAACGAAATTATCTGGAACAACAAATTTCTTTGTTATGACAAAAAATCGATGTACAGAAGAGATATAGTAAATTTAGGCTTCGTGAAGATTAAGGATTTAATTTCTGCGCACAACTCCTTCTTGTGCGACTTCTCTTCACTTACAAACCCTGAACAACGATTTTTTCTTATGAGTATTATCAATTCGATTCCCGCAGAATGGCGCTCACTTATTAAAGCATCTACAAACGTCATATCAGCCAATCCCATACCGATTACCCCAACTATTAAGTTGCCAAGTGGTAATGTAGTGCCAATCCTTGATATCTCTCCTAAACAGATCTATCAAATCTTTCTGCAGCAAAAGCAAATTGCGCCCACCGCAAAACAGAAATTGTCAAACAATTACGCAAATATAGATATTGATTGGGAAAAGGCTTACACTTTGGCCTTTCATTGCACTTTGGACACAAAGATCAGGGAATTTCATTACAAAATTTTAAATTGTATAATCTTTACAAACGTGAAACTTAATTTAATTGGTGTGGTGGAATCGCCAAACTGCACTTTCTGTCAAGAAGCAGCGGAATCCGTCGAGCATTTACTCTTCTCCTGCAGGATATCTTCTGAGTTTTGGAAGCATGTCTTGTCCTGGCTAAGAGATAATTATGTTCATGTTGAGACAATTAATGAGTCTGATGTGATATTTGGAAAATTTGATATTGTAGAAGACTATATTCTAATTAATCATATTTTGTTATTAGCTAAATATTATATCTACTGTAGGAAATGTCATAATAGCGTACCTTCAATTAGAGGTTTTATTGCTAGGGCAAGACGTGTCTTCAATATTGAGCTCCATATCGCCAGGGAAAAAAATAAACTTCTTTTTCATTTTCAAAAGTGGGAGAAGCTAACTAATGCACTTTGTAGTAGTTGATACCCATAGGTTCGTTAAAATTAGCAGGCATCTTTATTAATATCGTCGTTGTTGTAATACATACATACATTTTTCGTTGTTGTTATCCTTTTTCCTTTTTGAGTAGAATTGTATTTAATGTTTATTCTTAAGTAAAATTGTAAAACTTGTCTTTAATTCAATAAAAACTGTTAAAAAAAAAAGAAAAAAAAAAAGGTGCTAATGAAGTCGTACTGTACTACCCCTAAAATAACTATATATTTTCTGAATACTTTTGGTTTGAACTTTAAAATGACCTCACCTCCCCCCAAAAGGCTAAAATCTTGCTGTTGCCACAAAAAAAGAACAAATATGCAACCAAAGTAAATATGAAAATCGAATATTTCGAACTTAATAAATGGTTTGCTCCTCCCTGTGCCTTTTACATATCCATGTACCCCCTCTGCCTAGGTAGGAGGGCTTGTGACCCTGTATGTTTTATAAGCCATGCCCAATATCCAGATCCAAAATTATTTTAATTAATCCTCATCTATTAGTCATTACCAGCTGGTCAAGAATAAAACTACCGGTAATTGGCCATTTCAGTAATTGCAATAAATTTGCCATCTACACATGCCATGAATCAGCGTGTATTTTTCTTAAGAGAGACTGTCACTTAAGAGAGAAGGATCACCATAGAGATCACTGGTGTAATTATATACCAGTACTAACAACCATAGAAGACTGGCACACCAGGGCATATTGCCATGGTCCTTCCAAATGCTTACTTGTGAATATGAACTCTGTTAAATTAAAGAACAACAAACAAATTATGGTGCTTTGTTTTGAGCAAGGTGTATGTTGTGGTTCAATTTTATCCTTGGTTCAATATTGTGTATCCTAACAAATGAAAATGAGTGTAAACCAAAGAAAAAGACAAATTGAAATGGATAAAATTGAACTATGGCAAATACTTAGTATATCAACTTAAACTAACTTAACATGTTTTTATTCTGTCTACTTCTTCTTGGCAAGTTCTTGCAGCACAGCCACTAATGCCTGGTTCTGTTGTTGTTGTTGCTGCATTATAGTCATTTGCATCTGGCTTAGCTGTTGAAGCTGCTGATGTTGCTGCTGCTGGAGGTTAGCAAACATTGTTTGCTGCTGCTCCTGTTGATGGATCAGCTGCCAAGTCATTTCCTCTTGCCGCTTTACTTGGGCACACTTCTCCTGTTTTTTTAGTTCTTACTCTTCTTGCCTGATTTTTAATTCTTTTTCCGACTTCTGCTTCAGATATACTATGGTGTCTGCTCCAGATCTCTTTGTTCTTTTCTCCTTTTTTCCGTGCTCTTCACTAAAATCATCACCGACCATTCTTTTTCTTGTTTCTCCGACTTTCTCCAAAGCCTTGGCTCTCATATCCTTTGCTTGCTTTTTCTCTTTCTCTGCACTGGCTTTTTTCCGTCTGATATCATTTGCTGCTCTCTCTCTGCGGCCTCAGCTTTCTCACATATTTCTTCAATTGCTGCATCAAACTCTGAGGGCTCATCAACTGCTATTCTGCTGGCCTTGCTTTCTTCGGCAACCTTTCTTTTGGGTTTCTTTATTATAACCAGGTTTACACGGTCTCTTACATACCTCATAGAAAGCGAGAAACGGGGCTCAGACACTGCACTCAGGTTTAAGGCAATTTCTTCCCACAGTTTCGCTCTCTCCCTACTTTCCTTTGGCTGGCTATAGTGCTGTCTGCCCTTTTAAATCTGTTAAGAATATCTTCTTTGTCAAACTGTTTGACTTTTGAGTGATTCTCAGCAGTGAATTTTCGATTGGTATCAGTGTGAGCGAAGCTTATTTACATTACATTTCTTATACTCACATATTCATCAGATAGTGTTGGTCTTGATCAGCGTCTCAACGTTTCTGTTTAAAAACAAACCATCAAATTAAAGAATAATCCCACTTAATGAAAGAAAAAAGCGATGAAAGTTATTTTAAATTGTCTCCTGGGAATATTTAACGTTTAGATAGCAGAGAAGGTGAAAAAGAATACTCACGTTTTCAGCCAACGTCAAAGTGACTCGTTTCACGTAGGGCCGAATGCAGAACGTCAAACTTTTTCCCGCCAGTCATGCGCAGATGATTATTTGGATTTTCCCTGAGAGCCTACGTTCCCTGTCGCCATCCCCGTCCTAGTTGCTTAAAGTCCCTATTCACCTCACAGGACACCCAAGTGTATCATAAGATTCTGTAAGGGCTATCAAACTCTGAAAAGAAAAACAGACTCAAGTGCTTCACATTCCTTTGTTAAGTAAATTGGAAGTACCATTTTTTTGTCTTGACTTCATGTTTTGGCACGATTTGGGCAGGTTGTACATCGTCTGGCATAAAAGTTATAGACCTTTCTTATCCAAGTTCAAGTCTCAAGTCTTGTTTTTCTTAATTTCCACACAATAGAAAAGTATAATTATTATCATTATCCATGAAAGAGGTAGATGTGACAAATGTGGAGGTGTATGGTTGAGTTAACTTCATGTAATTAGCAGTCTTATGTTGAATTCATAACTTGTAAATTCACTTTTTAATATTAAGGAAGGTGTCCACGTTGCAAGGACAGAGTGTATGCAGCTGAGGAAGTAAAAGCAGGAGCGAGAAAATATCACAAGCGTTGTTTTACCTGCAACAACAAGCCTTCTTGTAACAAGTCTCTGGGTGGTGGCTCTTATAATGAACACGGAGGTAGGTTATCAGCCTAAGATGCGATATGAAGTGTTGCTAAAGAGGAATTCGATAACTTGAGTCACTCTTGATTGAGCCCATGGCTATTGTGCCGATGAAGCATTTTGGTTGTTCTTAAGAGCTGTACTGCATAGTCTTATTTGACTGCCTTTTTTGTTAAATAGGCAGGCATTCCACCACATGAGGCAAATAATTAACCTTGAGGTTACCGTTTTGTCAGAGCAGTTTTCAACATTGCAGTTTATAATATTGTGTTTTCATTGTAGATATGATGCATCAATCAGTGAAGTTCCTTGCATCCACCCCGTCCCCCAATGCACTCCACGCTTCCTACCCAGAATATGGGGTATTTTCCTTAAAAATTCATTTCAGTTTGGTCAATTTTATCTTACTACTTTTAATAGGGAGCTTATGAATTGACGACTTTTGCGCGACGACGCCCTTGGACTGTGTGAGAGGCTTACTGCGCATGCTTATCTGGGCACTTGCCGGCGTCGCGCCAAAGTCGACGCCATTGTTGACAGCGATTCGCTGGCGTCCTAGAAAAAGCAGGACGTGAGACTAATTTTCAAAGTTTTCCCTACATACTTCAGAGGATTTTTCCAGATAATTCAAGTATAACATTAGGTACATGTTCTTTTCATATTTTTTCGATTTGTTTGTCTGTTTTCACTGGAGTAACGACCTGAAGAATCAACACCATACCTAGCTGTAGACAAACATAAATTAACACTGAGTGAAACCATATTGGCAAGATGGTACCAAAGCTACAACTAGACCATTGCAAGTGGTTATTTCATCACAGTAACTACAGCTGTTCAGCAAGTTTGTGAATGCCCTCCCTGTATACAAACGGGCCTTGCATTTGTCCTTTGTTGTCTCGTCTAAATCCGTAGTTAACTCTGAGTTTGTTGACGAAACGCATAAAAGTACAAAGACAGTGAAATACTCGGTCCTTTGTAAATCTGTTTCCATAAGCGTCTGCAATACGAGCTCTCGTTTCTCTTACGAGTTTAGACATTTTGGTTGAACAAACAAGCTTACTTGTGAAAAGACGAAAACAAACTTCAGAAACGGCGGGAAAATTTGCCAGCCTCGCGCACCAACGTCGTCGTCTTTACTACGAATCGTAAATTTAAATTTCTACAGGATGGCAACGCAGAACTATGACGTGACCCAGCGGCGGCGTTGCGCGAAAGTCATCGATTCGTAAGCTCCCTAATACCGCAAGTGACTTCTTTTTGTAAAAGAACAAACCCATATATAACCCATGCAGTTGGAAAATTCATAACTTGGGCCAGTTATATCGGTATAGTAAAGCTGTGAATACAGCCAGTCTCACCCCAGTTATGAGCATCGAACATTCCCTTGACATCCTGTACAAAGCCAACCCAGCATGGCAAAAATCAAAACCCATCAGTGTCAATTCACTGGTAGTAAAGTCATCCTCAATTTAAAGTCCCATGACTCTTTCAATCATTGAAGATGAGATGGCGTCCACTGGCTTGAAAAGGGTGAAGATACCATGTTACGTTGATTGAATGTTGATGATTTGCCCAGTGACAGTGTGAAAGTTTTGTATGTGAATGCACCAGGAAATATGACAATCAAGATACTGCATAATGAACAAATGAAGGCTTTTGTGAAACAGATAGCATGGGACATTATAGCACAATTCTCCATAGTTGGGGAAGTTTCAGTTAAAGCTTAGTACGATAATTGGGATCTGTACATCACTATCCATGAGAATTCAACATCCTGCATGATGTTGTTATACCCTTTTTCTTTCTCAGTGGGTACCTTAAAGCCTTTTTTGGTTGGGGGGCAGGGGAATTAGCAGAGAAAAGTGAGTGCAGGCTTCAATTTTTGTGACAGGGGGGGACAGATCTTTCAGCTTTTGCATGCACTTCATTATGGCCAGTATTGTATCTACATGAATACCCCACGAAAACCTCTGGATTGGAAAAAATGATGTGCATTTTAAAATTCCACTAGTGGAGATTGAGAAAGGTAGACTCTAACATAACTTTTGTTTGCTCATGGTTTTCAGGGGAAGTATACTGTAGAGGTTGCTATGGAAAACTTTTTGGGCCCAAAGGATATGGATATGGAGCTGGAGCTGGTGCTCTTCACTTAACTGGAAAGTAAAAAAAACTCAGCTTTCTAACCTTACCACTGTCATACGGCTATGGGGTCCCTGTGCCGTGCTTAAAAGTATAGTTGCTGTAGTTTTCAATCAAGTATGCATAATAAAGAACTTTCACTGTTATAAAGACTGGAAGTGATTTCAAGTTAATTCTGTGGTTGCAAAAATTGTAAGTTACCGTCAAAATTAACTCACAAAACTGTGAACACCTGAAATATTTCAGGAACGTTTATTTTTTGTCATGACCAAATATAGCCGGCAAAGATCAAGACATGCAAGCAAGTGACAAACTAAATATTAATGTTTGCTTTCACTTTTGTTTTTTGCTGTGTCTAATTGTTTTTTTTGTTGGAACACAATAACATTCCAGATACATTTCCAGTGTTCAAGGTTTTGTTAGTTTCATAGTAAATTTTGTGACCTGTAAATTTTTTTCAGATTAGTTTTGTAGGAAAATAAAGTCTTACAATCAGCTATCAAGTGCAATTAATTTCTTATGATTCATGTTAAGTGACAGTATGAAGGAGTGCATATATAATCTACTAACTCAATTATCTTGCCATCTAGACCTCTAGAAGATGGTGATTCATAGATCAAACTTTTCAGATGCCAATTACATGTAAATAAATATATAAGGTTCTGCAAATGTTAAGTTTGATGGTTAAATCAGTCCCAATATACACCATTAGTTGTTTTATTTTTGCCCAATGTGAAATTCTCCATGTCCAAAGGACATCCCCTTTAGGCTACAATGCAGAAGTGAAAAACTGAGAAGTCTGAGAAACACTTGAAAAATTTGCTGGAGCCACAAGGGTTAAGGCAACCTGTTGGCTGGGGCAGCCTGCTATTTTAGGTGCTTAAAAGTATTGCCCAAAACATACGCAACTGTTTTCACTTGGCATATGTGCACCCTTCTGAAATGGATGCAAAGTCATCCCCATACACACATCACCTATCTTTTGCCCATCATACATCATTTCCAAAGCGAAATAGAAAATGTAAGAAACGCTTTGTTTTGATTTCTTTATTTTTTCGTTTTAAACAGGACAAACAAAAACTGTTATATGGAAGTGCTATTATCATCTTCACTGTGTGCGAGTAAGAGCTCCTGCTCCTCCTCCATAACCGTAACCTTTAGTTCCAAAGTTCTTGCCGTGACATGTTTTGCAGTAGATTTCACCTAAAGTTAGATGAAAATAATTTACTTTCAGCCTACAAAGCATAAAAGGGGTGCCACCCATAACCCTAAATTATTCCTTAATAGCGATTAACATCTTATTTCTCCTTAAAATAACAAAGGTCTTGAGAATACCGTAAATGACCTTATAAGTGCCTACTTCCAAATAAACGCCTCGAATAAATGCCTCCTCTATGCTGTTAAAATTTTAGTACACGCCCCTGTCTAATAAACGCCCCCTATCAGAATTACTCCAAAATACGAAGAATAGTAGCAAAAAGGAACAAAATCATTCAATTTATTCAGTTTCTTGCTCGATTAACATTAGGCGTTACGTATTTCATCTTGTTCAATGTCAAGTTCAAAGTAAGGATAGACTAAAGATGGCAACACAGTGACCCTGAGGGAGAATTCTGACATTGCTGTTGGGATTTGAAAGAGCGATAGTTTTTCTGAGCTTGTTACAGTTGTGAGAATAAAGGCCCCTCTCATTTAAACGCCTCCTAGTACCTATTACCTACCTAGTAAACGGCACCGCTTCGATCACACCCCGGGCGTTTATTAGGTCATTTACGGTGAGTGAAATGATAAACAAGGAGAAAAGGAATTGATTTTTAAATAACTTCTCCTCATCAGTACTATAAGTTACAGGTTGTGTAGTTTCAAGTTTAACCCTGGGGGTAGCCTACCAATCTCAATAGGGCCATTTATACGAGGAAAAATAAGACGCGTCTTAAATAACACGCGAACTTTCCGTATAAACGGCACATTTCTTCTAAAATAAGACGCGACTTAGCTAAGACGCGTCTTACTTTAGAACAGCCCTTAACACCTGTTCTTAGATAAGACGCGTCTTAGCTAAGGCGAGAAAAACTTCTGATAACTGACCTTCGCGTCGTACATAAGACGCGAACGCATACGCACGCGTTAATTCTTGGCGGGAAAATTATCGCTTGCCCCGCGGTGGACTGGCAGGCCACTGGCGGGGAAAAAATGTTTACAAATTACAACGCGTTTTCGTTTCCTTGTCCATTCTGCTTTGTTTTTTTCTTCGCTTAAATACAATGAGCACGCCGTTAAAGGTAAAAAGAAACACTTGGTCCATCGCCGAGGAAAAATATTTGTTGTTATTATGTAAGGAGAAGGCGATAATAGACCTCCTGGAAAAATGCGTGACATCTGCTGGTGTAAGTAGACCCTTTTAAACTATCACAATTTATAATTTACTAATCAAATTGCTATCTTCGTATTATAAACTTACACTTTAAAAGTAAGTTTAAGTATACAGAAGACTTAGATAAGACGTGCTCGTATAAATGGTCCAGAAGACGCGTCTTATTTTTCCTCGTATAAATGCAGGCTATGAATGTGATCAAATTTCTTGTTGTCACGCGTGACCAGACAATTGAACGCTGACCTACCGTTATTGTCGCTGCAGTTGGTACTGTCTAGCTTTTTCTTACAATCTTTGCAGGAGAAGCATTTTTTGTGCCACTTTGATCCTGCCCCCATGACTTCTTCAGCTGCGTAAACTCTATCATTGCACCTTGGGCAGCGTGCAGCTTGTGGTATCTTTAGTGGCATTGTATGCAGCTGCGTGAAAGCATCGATACAAAAAGTGATGGTTAATCTCTGATCTTTTTTTAATATGAAGATGGTCTTAAGTTTGCATGCAAACTTTAGCGAAAAAGAAGTCTAGCCTTGGGATGATTCCTTTCAATAGTCTTTTTGCCTCCATGCCTTAACTAAACAATGAAAAGACGAAAAAGTCGGGGTTGCCAAAAAAATTGTCACGAAATCACACAAAAAATAGGCTGTGTAAACAGGCCTTTTAAGGATAAACGAAATTTGGACAGCATTTGTCTTTAAGCTTAGATAAGAGTGAATTCACTAGATGGATTAAAAAGTGGGTCTGTATGGGACATCCCTATAAACAAACCAAGTTACAAAGTAAGTATTCCGTTGTGAATAGAACTGAAGCAGTTCTTTAGCTACAAACACACGGAGTGACGTCTTTTATTTACCAAATAAAAAATACTTCTTGTTTTTGCCCCACTTGGTCGATAGCAAGCCGCTTATTTTAATTTGACAGAGGACGTGATCAAGGATTGAAGATAGGCGGCCATTTAGGGCTAAAATTTTAAAGATGTCAATTTACGTCCAAACAGAGAGTGACCTAGCCTGACCTCTCGTTATTTTTTAAAGCTATTTTATGAGTCTCTACTATGCCTTTCAGTTAAAAAAATTCGATTGAGTTATTACTTTTGCTCATTTTTTCGCTCGATTTAATGGAGGACCAACTGTGATAGAGAACAAATAGTATACAGGGCATGGTGTAATGGATTTGTAAAACATGGACTGGATTGTTAAACATGGAAAGTCGGTTCGTAAACGGATTTTGATATTGTTTTCGTATTAAAGATCATGCTTTTCAAACGAAAAGTTGTCAAGTGATGTGGATTTCTAGAATTCAGACAAAAAAATTATTAGTCCCCCTCTATGGTTTTGATATACATCAGCACAGATTAGCTAAGCGGGAACTTGAAGCTGTTAAATTCATGAACAAAGGGAATAATCATACAATGTTTTTGAGTGTCCCGAGTTTTTAATTAATAAATAATGAATTTTGATAAACTTTTTCTGGCCTTTAATAATGTGACAAGGGCAAATAATGTTCCCATAATCCTGTTAATCTAGTACATTTATTGAAACTAACAATTACGTCCTTAACAGCTCATAACTTTTAAAGAGAACTTATCGGAGAAAAGACAAACAAACAAATCCATGTTTTACCAGTTAAGATCATGTTTTAGACATCCACTTCATTGCCCAGTTTTATGACATGCTCCAAACAAGTATCCGCAAAGAGTGAAAGCTTTTTTCCCAAAAATATAATAACTTCTTTGTTCATTAATCTCAATATGAGACAACTGATGCAGAAATTGATGATCAGAATTCCGGTTTCGTTCAAAGTTTATACAAAGCGTATCGACCAATAACAATTATGGAATCATTACATATGTAACTTATATAACGCCTTTGTCCATTAAACCCAAAAAAGGAAGAGAGAAAAGCGAATAAGGAGAGGTTAGCGTGCGAAAAAGCGTTTGCGCTCAGTGTTCCTGGTGTACTTTAAGGTAGTAGGAATGTCAGCTGCTACGCAGGCCACGAGTTGTTTGTTTTGTTTTTGGGCGTTATAGTTGATAAAGGTAAAAGTCATTCGTACATACGGTTGTACTGAGGTTTGTTTGAACTGTTCATTAGCCGCGGCACCCGCTAATAAATATCTCATGTTTTTAAAAAACACGAAGTTGGTCCGATTTACGGAAGAAAAACTATATTTTCGTTCAAGGGATCGTTGGTCTTGACAACAGCATTTTTGTAAATGTAGCCGCACCATCAGGTACAGTAGCACTTTGGGTCTACTTTACAATTTAAACGCAGTGGGATAGCGTAACAGCAGTACATGCAGTGCTCAAGGAAATGTAATAGATTGTATTAAACAGTAACTCACCTTAAATCGTCGAGCAAAAGACCTTAACTTTTCCAACAGACAAACAGACTTTTCGCAACAACCACACACTCGTCTACTAACATGCGACCAACTACGTTCTGAAATGACCCTTGCTTGATTTTCTTTCTTATTTCTTGGAGGCTTGACAAAGCCAGTACATGATGCGAAACGGAGAATATAATTGTTTATCAATTGGAAATTCCAATATGGCTATTGAAATTCTCTCTACAGGCTTAATCTTTTGACTCTGGTATCGATATCGCGAATTCTAAGAATGACTTAAATTCCGGAAACGACAATAACACGTAGTTTTTTTATAGGGTGCGTTCGATCTACCCTATTTTGGATGAACGGGAATACATAGAAAAATCCAGAATATCCGTTAATGTATCCCAAACATTCTATCTTCCTTGGAATGAAACGAGGAGAAAGTAACATCATTTCCTCCCTTCACAACAACAACAACATCAACATCAACAACATCAACAACATTGGTAACCCCGACGGGGGATGAAGGAGGGGGGCGGGGGAGGGGTGGCTCCTTCCATGTAAAAGGGGACAGGATGCCCTTCTAAAAATTGGTATTTTAATTTTTGATTTAAAAACCTAAAAGCGACCAATCTGGGCTCATAAAAAATATATATATATTGCAAGAATTAATTGCAATTGATCAAAGTTATGTACAGTCGAAGACAAAATCCTACTTTGCTTCTTTCATTCATCGAACAAACAATTCACGGCTAAAGCGGCTAGCTCCACGTGACTAAGGAAGCTACTTCGACTGTAGTTTTACAAACATCGTCTGCTTCATGAGATTTATCAAGTCAGGTTGGTTGTCAAGAAAATTTCCCTACCAATGTATGCCAGCAGGCAATAATATTTCACTTGTTGTTTCGGTTAACTGTCAGTCATTCTAAAACATGGGAAGGAGTAAGGCATTACTAGTCATACTACTGAGAAACGCTTGACTTTACGGTGGCAGCACCTCTAGGACATTCCATGAAGTAAGCCTACTTTTGCTTTACAAATGAACTCGTAACTACTTTGCTGTAAGAACTTACACCGTGGGCAGCGTCCAGGCCCTTCTGCTACAGATTTGGACATCGTATGCTGAGCAAATCAAACGTTACTTAAGTTAACAGTTACAAACCAAAATTTCAGTAACAGTGATTTGTCAAAGGACACAGCAAATGCTACCAAGCACTTTTAGTGGTGTGTTAAAATTTCATAACTCTCGTCAGAGTAGACTACGGGTGTAAAAGAGTTAGGGTTAGAAACGAACAAACGTTTGGCAAAAATCCCCCAAAACGTCCTCATGCACTAAAATCTCGTTCCCAGGATGCTGTCTCTTCCCCTCTTCTGTGATTAAATTTACCATAAAAAACCCAACCAAACAAACAAACAGATTTTTATACTGTGTACCTTAAATCGAGTTGTCATTTGCCATTTCAGGCGAAGGATAACGTATAACCAATTTAAAATTCATCTGTGTGCCAAATACCCTAACCGTAAGGCCGATCCTCTCTTTTGAAAGAGAAACTTTGGTCCAAGTCATTAGCAAAAAACTGTTAATCACAGCGAGAAAACAGATAAATCAGTTGTTGTTACGATATAGCACCTTGGTGCTGATAGCAACAAGTCATGCAATGGGTCATCATCCTGTGGCCGTATTAAGAGGTAAAGTTTAGTCTTTATATGCAGACATCTCCTATTTTTGTTGCTTTTGGTGAAACCTTTACAGTAAGCTTAAAATTAAAATAAAAAGGAGGAAAACTCGTAACCTGAGCATTAGGCGTTTCCGGGAGAAATCCGGGGAGAGAGTAGCGAAAAGAGGAAACAGCGGTACGAGGAGAAACGATTGAGTTAAACGGTTTTAAGAAGCCTTCCATCCGGCGTTGCACAACATAGCTAATCAACAAAATTTACAGTTATACTGTTAAAAACTTTCTTCTAGATAAATTATTATCTGTTTCTCCTTTCCATACTTGCCTTTTTTCCCCGGGGGTGGCGGGGGGAAGTACTCGCTTATATTAGCCACAGGGGGATGCCTTAAGTGTCGCCCCAAAGGTATGGTTTCGTGCCGTTTTGGTCTGAAAACGGGTATAGACTTTGCCTATTTTGGTCTGGAGTCGGATAGGGTTTTCTAGGAAACTACGGGAGTGTATGAACGTTATCGTATCAATCCCCAATGAATAAGAAAGAAAGAGAAATAAGAAAATTTTCGTTGACGTTCTAATCGAAGTAATGATGACAATTTCTCAGAGGCCAGGTCTGAAAACGGGTGTGAAAAATGGCATTTATAGGTGTGAAATAGGGTCAGGATTTGGAGAACCGTGCGGAACAACCCCACCAAGAATTCCCAGGAGTACCCCCGGGGTTCTTTCGCGGGTCACTTTGCTCGCCACTCGAATAAAAAAACCCCCCACGATCAAACTGGGGTCAAGCATCTCCCCCCTGGCCGTAAGAGACTAAAATAATCGTGGCAAAAAAAAATTGCTCCCGAATCAGTGCCACGGCAAAAGTGAAAAGAAAGCTGAAATTCATGACAAAAAGGATTATTTTCGTAAATTAGGCAGGGAATTGAGTTGATCGTGGAAACAGACCTATCTCTTGTATTGCATCGTTGGTGATCGTTGGTGGGGAACTTACACAGCAGGGAACTTAGGGGTCATAAATAGTTCTTAATGAAAGCGTAAGAATACAGAACGGAAAAGGTAACTTACTTACTGTTAAATCAGATCCTTGCAACAACCAAACACTGGATCAGGTCCCTCAGTACTGTAGAACTGCAGAATGCGGTCCACAACGTTGTAAAAATCAACCTTGACGGATTTCTTTTGGCAACGAAGAAAGTTGATCATCCGTTTGAGAGAGTATATTTGTACATCTGTTAAAAAATGTCAATATAACATTTATATTCTCCCAACAAGCTTCATCTAAAAATGACTTAAATTCCGGAAACGAACATTAGAGATTTGACAGCAGCCTTAAAGAGTAAATAGCTAACACTATCTTCTGTCGCCCATAATTTTTAGATTCAAAAGGAGTCAGCTTTTTATTTATCAAGTAAATGCTTCAGGTTTACAAATCGTTTAAACAGTCCATTTAATTTTCTCCTTTATCTTAAAGTATATGCTAAAGTTAGCGACATGTCAAAATATTCAAAAAATCCTTTGGCACCTTTTGAATTCTTGTACATATTAGGGAATGTTGTTTTATATAACTGAGTGTTAGATAGCAATCTGTTTGATTTCACAGGCTACAACCCGGAGACCGAGACTGTCATACCTACTTCCCTAGCATTCTCTCAACAAGAACATTAGACGATTGCCAGCCGATTTGATAATTGGGCATATTCCGCTTCATGTAAACATGTCACCCAACAGCAGCTTAGACCCTGGAAACCTTACTTCTCTAGCTTTGTTTTACATAATTTGCAGACTTTTCTTCAGATCCACAAGTGCCCGTACCTATTCCCGGGTGGGGACATTTCCACGTTCAGCTATTTAGTGCACGTGCGTATGCTCAGTTCCCTATCCTTAGTCCAGATTGGTGGGAAAACTCAAGATGCGTCCTTTCCTTGCCTCTTTTGATTGTTAGTATGTTTTTTGTTCGTTTCGTTTCGGTTTACAAGTATGTTTCTTTATTCCTTTTTTTCTTGAACAGTTGATTTTCCTCATGACCAGTTGTTTGAGCAGCAGGCCGAGGACCAGCTAGGGGAAAACGGAGATTGCGTGGTATGGGCTAACCTGAGTATCAGGCCTTCCTACGGGGCTAGGGGAGAGGAGATTTTAGTTCCCCTTTTCCCCAGAAACGCCTGATACTCAGGCTAGGTATAGGCTAGTTGGATAGTTGCTGACTATGTCAGCGTACTCTCCATCCATATGTCATGTCACACATCGCTCGTGGAGGAGCGTTGCGTGACGTGCAAAGAGTGACTGAGGCCATACCCTGCGTAGCAAGCGTTTGCCAGGGGATGCAGGGGGTGGAGAGGAGGGAAAAGGAACCTTTTCTTCTTTATTTGTTGCTCTCGGTCCAACTTTTGCGCAAAAAAAACTTGCTGTGCAAGGATCATTTTTCGATCACAATATATGACGTAGTTACAGCGTTCGAGTTGTTGGTGCTGACCTAAAGGAAAGCGGGCTGCGTGTACGAAACAACGCGGAAGGTTGCAGCGAAACTACCTTGTAAAAGAGGGCCGAGAAAACACGAAAAAATGGATGCTGCAAAGTTTGATGATATATTCATGGGAATGCTACAGCACTGTGAACAAGTGGAACCGTTCCTAGATGCCATGTTTAGTTTTTTAGCTCGAAGAACTGACTTCTTTCGGGTCATGCATTCTCGAGATGACAAGATGGGATTCCCCCCTGGAGTTGCGGAGAAGATTGTTTTAAAGGTGCGATATACATCATGTGTGTTTGGATAATAAAGGGTTTAGCTTAACTTTTGTTTGATTATCAGTACTGAGGTTCCTCTAAAGTAAGATAAATCTGTAGCGCTAAAAACGTGCTATCCTCTTGCGATATAGGTACATCACCCGGGGGGAGGGGGGTACTCGACCAATAATATTTTTTGGATATATGAGCCGCTGAGGGTTTGAAACGCTGACCCTGTTCAGGACAAAAAAATCCTAAAATACATTCCCTGTCTAGGACAACACCCTCAATTTTATTACCCAGTTTTCGTAGGCAATATATCTTGTTTCTAATAGGTATGGATGGAAGCAAGGCTGACAGTGACCTTTTTTCGATACAAACCTTTCTGTTTTATTATGTAAATCACGTTATCCTTATGCTAACTAGTATTTTTCAAGGACAATTTCCATAACAAAGCAAAGGAGGTTTGCATGAAAACAAGGTCACCGTCAGCCTCACATTGACTCGAAGGCTAGGGTACTAAGTTCACAACTGTAAAATGGTCCATTAGATAGGACAGACTTGCGCGAAATTATATACCCTGTTTAGGACAGAGAGGTCAAAAACCATACCTAGTACAGCAGCACATCCCTGTATAGGTCATATAAAGGAGTATCTCCCTCCTGGTATATTGCTGCCCTGGGGGAACACACCTTTATTTGCACCTCTCTGAACAGGGTATGGTGTTCAGGGTGTTGAGTCTTAAAGGGGTATACAATTTCACTGTTAGCATCATGAATAGCTAGATAACAGAATACCCGCCCACTTACATTATTTTAACCTCAAAACAGGCCGATAATAGCTGCATGGGTGGTTGCTACTATTTTAACTACTGTTATGTAAAGTTTAATACATTTAGACATGTAAGTGCATATTGTTTTTTTTGTAATTTTTTGAATTCATAGATTTTCAAGAAATACCAGGAATTAGTCAAAGGAAATCAAACGGAGAAGAAAAGTGCAGGTTCAGGAAAGGATGAGATTAAAGGCAGTGAAAATGTATCCACAGAAACCTCAAGTGATCAACCTAGCTCTTCAGATAATAATGTGAGTTGCTACAGTTTTGTTTTGTTTCCAATGAATTTATATACATTCCTACATGAAAATGTTTAATACAGTAGAACCTCTATAACTCCGACCGGGATAAATCACACTCCCTGCTAACTCGAACTGAATTAAGTCCTATTTCCCTTGGATTTCACCCTACTTGTCAGTCATTTTTACTTGGTTAACTCAAACTCGGATAACTCAAAGTCTTGGTTAAATCAAACTAACTCAAATTCCCCATTAACTCAAACTAAATTTCCCTTTCCTTGATCAAAATTTCACTGAAATTTTCACTGGTAACTACGAATTTTGGTTCTTGCTACCCCACTTGGATGCCATTCCCTTAGCTCTTCTTGTTGTATAATCAGTAACAACATTAAAACTAACCCTACAGAAATTTAATTTTAATTGGTGCAACAAATAGATCATGCTTTTTCATAGAAATGCACAATCATATCACCGATTTTGATGAAATAAGTAAAGTTACAATTGTACTATGCACACTGAAGTGTTGAAAAATCAGCAACTATCAATAATTACTGAAAATAATGACAAAATTAAAATTCAATCTACCCCAATAACTTGAATCCCCGCTCACTCAAACTGTTTTTCGTTTCCCTTCAGAGTTGAAGTTACCAGGGTATATTTTCATATGTATGCATGTTTGTTTGTAAGGATCAGCAATTATTGTAAACCTAAGAAAACTATGAACATCTGAAATAATCATAAAAAAGCTCAGGACTTACAACAAGCAGACCCAAAACCAGTGACAAAATAATTACCATAATTGCTTGTGTTTAGTTCTCTCATACCTGAATGGGTTTTTCCTCACAACACAATAACATTCCAGAAATATTTCTACACACTTCTGCAGGCCTCATCACTTCCATTACCACCAACTCCATCTGTCTGCAGTACCACAGTTGAAGTAGAAACATCATCTTCCGAGGACCAAGCAGCTGCTCCAGTGCCATTATCAGAATCTACTGCAGGTGCTTCCACAGTGTCAACGAGGTTAATAATATGTTCAACCTTATAGCAACTGCATCAAAACTTAAAACAGACTCAACTAATGATCATGATAAATTCAGTTAGTTTAGTTTAATGTTGCAAAAATCAACTATTAAATTGTATTGTGAAACACAAGAGCTCAGCATTTTTGTAGACAAAACATAGCAAGGAAATATTTTGAAATGTAACAACTCATTTTACAAGAAATCAAATGACCACACTGTCTTGTTAAGACCTCTTCTGCCATGTTGGATTAATTTGTCATTGATTAGGAAACATTCAAGGATATGTTGTGGTTCAATTTTTTCCTTGGTTTAAATTACATTTTCTTTTGTTTTAGGGTATGGTTATGTATTATAATGAGTTTGAAACAAAAGAAAATAAAATTTAAACCAAGGATAAAATTGAACCACAACACATATCTCAGAATATTCTTTATCTTTGTAATGCCGCACACTTTCAAATGAGTTTTTGGTATGTTCTAAGTATTTTTGACTTTTTTGCTGTCCATCTTCAGACTTTTCAATAAGACGTGACACCTGAGGATTCTCTGGGGGTGTACTGTTAGCCCACAGAAATTATTAGATTTATTATTTTTGTTTTCATTCATAGACACTCTGATAAGAGACACTGGGGTGGCATCCACCAGTGAACTCTCAGCCTGCATGGACAATAGAGCGGACTGGGCAGCCAGGCAACTAGCTCGGCTGAGGCTACCTGAATGAATGAATGAATGAATGAATGAATGAATGAATTGTTATTACATTAGTTATATATTTGTTTGAGTTACTGGTATGTGAATGTGTTAAAAATTTTCAATATGTATAGCTCATCAGCTCAGCCAGAAAACAGCAAGAGCAGTGATGAAGGTAAAGGATTGATGCCTGGCAAGTCAGCAGAGTGTTACAATGGAGCAGTTCTTGACAGATATTCCTGGTCACAAACTATAAAGGATATTGAAGTGAAAATTCCAGTACCAAGTTCGATAACTAAAGGCCGTGATGTTGGGGTGGAAATTAAGACATCACATTTAAAAGTTTGGTTAAATAAAGACATCTCTCCAGTGACAGGTATTTTAAGTGTATCTTAGTGTCATAAATTGGTTAAATAAGCAAAAATGGTATAGAGAGCTTCAGGGGCTTCTTCAGTCTTGATCTCCTACCAATTTGTTCCCTTATTCTCCGTCTAGTACTGAGGTCATCTTTTCTAGTTGATGTTTTCTAGTACTGAGTTGATGTTGATGTTGTGCAATTAAATATTTATTTCCATGCAAAAAATTGTAAATGGATTTGTAAATAATGAAAATGAATGCAGACATATCATTAATAGAAACATGAACAAAGGCCTTATTAACTGGTAACAATCATCTTCACTATTGTTAAAAGGCCTTTGATACTGAAGATCATCCAATTTTTCTGTTCAATTGAACTACAGCACTTTGGTACCCAAAGCAAATCTCTAGACTTGCTTGAGGCATACTTTATCAGCATTCAGTCTTGCAATCTTGGTCCTCTGTATGGACAGTGGTTGTCTAGCACATATTGACTGAAAGGTATTCTTTACAGGTAGCAATGTTCTTGTTGATGGAAAGCTTCAAAGAACCATAAAATGTGAAGATTCTATGTGGTTACTGGAAAGTGGAAAATTTATAATTGTCAACCTGGAAAAAAGAGAAGAGAGGTTTTGGACAGCAGTTTTAGAAGGAGATGCTGAAATAGACAAGACTAAGGTTGACACGACTAGAGACATTAGTGACTTTGATGAACAAACTCAGAGTGATTTTGAACATGTTATGTATGATCATCGTCAAAAACTTCAAGGAAAACCAACCAGTCAGGAATTGGTTAGTACTGTGTTCATGTAACTTGTGTACTGTGCAGACTTTCAAGAGTATATATCACGGGTTTATTTCTTTCATAGTACATGTACCTCTTTTTCTGTCTTTTTCGTTAGATTTAGCCATTTAATGGTTAAGAACATAGAATGCATGGTGACTTAATTGAGATTTTCAAAATCATGAACAGCTTTATAGTAAACTATGGCCAAAATATGTTCAGGAAGAATGTATCTTACCAAACTCCTAATCTTACAGTCATTTCACTTCATTCTTTAAGAACAGCGCATGACTTTTTTAGTAATAGAGTTAGCAAATACTGGAACCCCCTACCGTTAGGAGTCCAATGTGCAGCAATTATCGACACATTTAAGGCTGGTCTCGATTGTTTTAAATCATCGCAACCTGGTTTAAATGGTTTCTGGGAACTATCAGACTGGAACAAATCTTTAATAGAATTACCAATAAAAGTGAACATGTGAAATATTTATTAGCTAATTGCAATGTTGCAATGTGGCAAAATATCTTGTTTTAATTGTTATTGTTTTTCTTTTTTATATATACATATATACCTTAGTCTTAGCTTTTTAGAATTTAATTTCTATTACATGATAATAAATAATTTTGTAAATAGTTTTTATCAATGGAGATATCTGGTTATAAAGTTATCTTAAGTAGTTGTATGCTCAAAATAAAAAGGTTTCACTGAAATTCTGGGTACTTTGCATAACCCATTCTTCACTTTCTTGTAAACATGTACATGTTAACCAACTAAATTTTTGTGTAGAGAATTTGAATGTGAGCAAACCCACACTGAACCATCCAGTAACTACTTTTTTTACAGGATTTGGTCAGACCTTAATAAGTTGATCCTCGTAGATGTGATAATTTTCTGATAGTTGTTGTTAAGTTGCTTTTTATTCACTTTCCAACTTAGAAAACGCACGAGCTTCTCAAGCAAGCCTGGAATGCAAAAGGTTCACCATTTGCTGGCACAGAATTTGATCCATCAAAAGTAAACATATCACCAAGTTATGGATAAAACATCAAGAAATGTTATAGGCCCTTGCCTTGTTGGTGTATGGACTAAGACAAGAAGAAAGCAATTCACTTATTGACTGCTTGGACATCAAGAATAAACTGTCATTGTCTTAATTTTGTGTCTGCTGTAAAATGGTCACCTATTGGTTGACAGTCAATCAACTGTCGCTGCAGAAAACTAGACTAAAGGGTCATTGTCTAGAGTAAGAGGGTTTTGTTGTTTCAGTTTTTTAATCAATAAGGGATATAACTCCCAGCATCATCACATTTTCGACGTATGACAATAGCTTCAACCCTTTCTATACTACTACTCTTGTCAGAATGTGTTTCTTGACAAAAACATACTTAGGTACTATTGTGTTATTATCTCAAGGTAGCTAAATCAAAATGTGCCTCTAGAACTGCTTTTCTGGTCTTTATGGGAAGGCAGTAAACTCCACCTCAAACCATTCAGTGCGTTAGATTTAAAAAACTTTCAGTTTCAGTGGATGCCACAAGTGCCCCTTTAGTTCCTTCCACATACCTAATGGCTTGAACACAGTAAGTCATGTAGATCATTATGCCTACAGCCAGAAAAATCCCTGTTGTAAGCTTTTGTAAAAGTGGAAAAACTATGGTGTAGTTACAAGTAGGTTTTGCCAAGCAAGGGTGATTTTCACATGGTCTTAACCTAATAACATTTACAGATTAATGGAAATTATGATATTGTTTTATTTACATATAAACCTGGTTAATTCTGTTCCTGTTCATTTTGTTGTAAAAAAACAATGGTCCTTCTCTAAGAAAAATTAATGAAAAATAAAAACGACATAAGCTTTAAATATTAGTACTGAAAAGCTGCAAGTGCATGAAGGAAATTTATGATATAAAGAAAGAGAGATCATTGTGATTTTGGACAAGTAATATAAAGTTATTGCCCTAGGCCTTAACTAACCCAAGTATGAATTATTTTCTTTCTATTCTCTTGTGAATTTATTAAGCCCCTGCCCCTTTTTACTACAGAAAATTATATGACATGACACCTCCCTCTCCTTTTAATTTGAAATGATTAGTTTATCATAACTACCAGTAATAAGCGAGACTGTCCTCGATCCATCTTACCATTAGTCTTAACATTATTAACCAGGACTATCCGGCCAAATCAGTTTATACATAAAGAGTATACATGACAGTGATGGAGTTTTGTCAAAAACCCTTCTTGAGTAAAGCCCATTTCAAAATAACTATTCTGGTTTGCCAGTTCTGACTTTTGGTTAGTGTCCTTAAATGAACACCTGAACCAGTCCCAATGGTATCCATCTTGGATTGAGTCAAAACTGTCTAACACTCCATGTGCTATTCATATAATATTTTTACAAATTTAGATCATCCAAACATGCATGTCAGACAGTCATTCCCACACTCATAACTTGCAGTGCAGGTACATCTTTTGGGTGGAGCAAGGGTTCGGTATTTCTCATGAGGAGGTACAGACTTCGATTCTGAAAGCAAAGGAAAATTTGGAAGAGTAGAAATTGTAACCTTATTGGTGGGCTGTAATCTGCTTTGTCTTCTTTCTTTGCTTACAACCCTCCACAGGCCTGCATTTTGCTTAATAGGTTTCACTCCATTAAGCCCTTCGCTCAAGTATGCTTTACAAAAAGCCCCCCACACCTATAATGGAGATTTGCAGTGTTTAAAAGGGCAGGATTAAGCTTTCCTCTGGAAAATCAATTGGAGGGAAGATCCCAGAAGGTTTCACAGGGATTTGTGGAAACTAAATTTTTGTTATGGAGTCAATTAATGAGAAATTTTGCATTACCTTTAATTGGACTGGATCTGCCAACAGACACCTTCTCTTCTCTCTACTCACATGTTACCTCTCTGGAGGAGATGGGGTTTCAATTCTCAGACTTAACTTGTAAGACCAGTTTACATGCTATGATTTGTTGGCCTGTCTTGGGTCCAATTTGACTGCTGCCTGGTTAGCTCAGTTGGAAGAGTGCTGGTCTGCCGAGCGGGAGGTTGCGGGTTCAGACCCCAGCCAGATCAACATTCAGGGTCTGTAAATAACTGAGGAGAAAGTGCTGCCTTTGCGATGAGATCTGCAAATGGCTACACTTTCTAGTTTTCTCAGATTGCCATTGTTGCAAAGTGCCACAGGTGAAGTACAATAATGTAATCTAAAACTACTGCCTTTTTGAGCTTTTTGATGTTTAATGTATCTATGGTGGATGACTTTAAATGTACCGCAACTGTGTAATGTCATTTGTTTTCCTATGAAATCAGAGTACTTTACCTTTTACACAGAGGGAAACTGAAAAATTTAGTCTTTCCCTTAACAATGTCTTTCTCATAGTTTTCTTTACAGGTTTTGAGCAGACCCTAAATCAGTCAGTATCATTTGTGTAAACAGATCGTTGTGAGAGGTCAAGATCTTATTTCTCTTTGCTATTCATTGTGCAAGTGAATTCTGACTCCTGTTCTGATAGGGTCATTTTCGTTCGCGGCAGAGAATTTAGAGTTGAAAAATTCTACCTCTGAACTACTATGTTCTTTTAAGGATGTGTTACAAATTGCTAAAAATGTAATCAATTTGCTCCAAGCAGCAAAAGTTGCCAGAAAGTTGCTGAGCAACTTGTGGCTGAGGCTACCGAGTGGTGTGGCCAACCTCTCCTGGGCTGGGTGGGTTATCTGTTAGGAGACACTTAAATAATATTGAAGCCCCACTTGGTTGTGTTCTACACTGATTAATAAATAGGTTTGTAAAGAGCATCAACTTGGGCATGTTTGGAATTGATTTGAGGAGCCAATAGTAAGAGAGATATTTAAACAGTTCCAACAAACACATCATTTATTATCTGTGAACCTTCATATAAAAATTATAATTCCACAAATTTAAAAATCAAGGTTAAAATTTAGCAGCATGTTCCAGACAACTTGATTCAATTAAACTCATCAGGTCATCTTTTTGCGTGTGTGCTGTGTTCTTAATATAAATATGCCTTACATCTGTAAAACCAATTAAGCCAAAGATATCTTTCAAATAAGGAACTTGATAGTCAAGTGCTTTCATATCGCCGGTTGAGTAGTCCCCGCCTGATGAGGTTATAAGAAGCAAGGGCCTTCCAGTTAACAGCCCTTGTGGACCATTTGAGGTTTCCCTAAATGTCAAACCAGGCTGAACAACACAGTCGATGTACTGCTTCAAGACATAGGGAACGCTATAATTCCACATGGGACACGAAATAACCAGTTTATCCGCTAAAAACAACGTCTTCACCATCTTCTCCACTGGTTCTAAGTTCTGTTTATCCGACGGTTTGTCCTCGCCAGTCACCATTCGCATTTTGCTTGCAACATGCGATAAATCATACTGTAAAAGATCTTTATCCCAAAGATTTATCTCACTGATAATATGTTGGTGATTTCTAGATTTGTACGCTGTGAAAAACGTTTTGGAAGCTATACCAGTCCACGATCTCTCATCCGACCCAGACGAGTTTAGGTGGAGTACTTGAATCTGCGGATTTGTCTTCTTGAAGTCACCACTCGACTTAACTTCTCCTTGAAAAGCTGAAATATATGAACAGCATCTTCTCTGAATTAAGAGTGCTATTTTCAGTCCTCGTCTTAATCCAAATTTTCCCTTTACACTACGATGAATGTTGGCTAAAGGTATATTGGTGATGGTCGCCATTTTGCATTACACGTGCCATCCGAGCCAGTTAACGGATTAGTTACGTAAGAGAGGTCAGCGGCTTGAGGACATTAGACGCCTTATGATTGGTTAATTTTATTAACCCACCAATAGAAAAAAGGCTTAGGAAAAATAACTGATATTCCCATAATTCTTAGCCCTCGAAGGTAAGTGATTTTCAAAGATGGCGACCCACATGCTTCGACAGTTTGCTAGGCGGGCTGTATACGCTCATCCATTGTTGAGGAGGCAGAGCATACGGCTGGTCTCTTCTTCTCCACGTGTTATTTTTGCTGGTAACAAATGTTTGCAGCAGCCATTTCTTGTCAGCAGCAGCTTGGCAGCAAAACCTCCATGTCTTATGGGCGTTCGCTTGTTTGCCGATGCTGGAGCAGCGCTATCAAGGGAAGAAATTCAGACACGAGTCATGGATGTCTTAAAACTTTTTGACAAAGTGGAGCCCGAAAAGGCAAGTATTTAGTTCCTGAATAAGGGGGTGAGGGTCACTCCTCCTTCCTTAATTTGCGTTTATCAGCCTTAGGCATCTTTGAACAAGTTGGGACGATCTGTCCCTTGTATAACCTTCACTGATTGGTCGCTTCATCGCATACAATACTATATACATTTAAAGATCTCCTGAGCCTCGCTATTGCTTGGATTTTGAAAACTTGAACATAATTTAACGTAATTTTACTAAACAATATAATGTTCATTGTGTGGACTCCTACAGAACACAAATCTTGTGTAATATGGGTACCCCGTCGACCAAGTATCAGCCATCAGTATTGGCCGATACTCAGTGGACCTGTCAGCCAACTCTCAGTGGACACAGCGGCTGACTCGGTTGATATGTCCGTCGCATTCAGTCTGCCAGGTGCCGGTCTACATGAAGAGCTGGCTGACACGTTGACCAAAGTATCGGTCGATAGTGTTGGTCACTGTGTTGACTGTTAATCAGTCAACATATCAATTAGTAGGTCAACAACATTTTGCTTATACTTTATTGATACTTAGTTGACTCTTCCTCTGTAGTTTTATTTCCTGTCTGCACAAATTTTTGTTGTTTCTATTTAATTTGCTTGATTTATTGTCGTTACAATCATTGCAGTAACATACATACACCATAGCCAAACACGTATCCCCCCCCCAGAAAAAAAAAAAATATTGGATAAATAGGGACTGTGTACCTCCAAACTTTCCTATGGTGTCACCTTTTGGGTTTTTAAAGCTGATCTAAATAAAATAAAGCCAATATAACATTCATTGCAAAGGGAAATAGTAATAGTAATGTAAACAAGGTTATAGAGCATCTAGGAAACTGAGACATTCAAATGTAACACTAAATGTAATGAAACAAGGAGACAAGGTGAGACTGACCATAGAATGACATGAGAAACCGAATTATTCCATGCCAGCAAACTATCTAAAATTTATGTCACTTCTGATAACACAAATTATATGGAAGTCAATCAACATACCACCAACAGTGAAACAATATTCTGCCAACACTTGACACTACCCATATCGTTGGTGCATTGAACGGTATACCAACCAACTATATTATGTAATCTGTTCTTGTAAAGGTACCCAGTTAATTTTTCAGTAAGCTAAGTTTTAACATTGTTAAATTGCTACGTGTGGCTGTATAGGTTAATATTTTGGCATTGCTTTTTTGTTAGCTCACCCATAAAAGTCATTTTATTAATGACCTTGGATTGGACAGCTTGGATATAGTTGAGATTGTCATGGCATTGGAAGATGACTTTGGTGAGTGCTTTAACCATAGTGCCAAGCTTATACTAGAAGTCACAACTATTTTCATACAAACTTAAATGCAGTCATACAGCTCTTTGATCCCAAGGCTTATGACAATAAATTGTCATTCGACTCCTTAAAATACGTTTATCCTCTTGTTTGGTTCTCAGTTTTGGGTATTATTAAGCATTCCAACACATATAACGTTGGCTGGAAATGTGCAAGTTTTTGCTTAATACAAGTTGTCTGCTTCATACAGATTCCTGTAAAATGAGTCATAGTTGATGCATAGCTTAGTATACTTTGTTTGACAAAACAAGATGCAGCACCTTCAGTGCCCTGGCTGCTAGAGGTTTTTGCCTTTCCTAATTCCAACAAGTTTGCTGCAAAGCTTCTCAGGAGCTTTATCAAACCTTGCACATGGGTTATTTCATCCTAGGTATTTTCAGATTGGATCTCTGGAGTCAGGACTTATGTTCAGTTGTTTTGGTTTGATCAGAATTTTATCACTTAGTCTGCGAACAAGCTCTCCATGCTTGTTGGCTATTTATCACTCCTAGTGCTGCACAGTTAGTCTGTAACTAACATTCAACCCATGTTCTATTGTAGCAATTGAAATATCTGATGAAGAAGCTGAAAAAGTGTTTACAGTTGATGATGCTGTGCATTTAATAGCTAAAGCATTGGATGAACATTAGTCATAATGTGGTAAGCAGTCTCTGTTTTTTCTAAGTACGTCGAGCAAAACGTGCAAGGCACGAAAATGACCACGCCCTTGACTGAAGGCTCCAGACAGGGGAGGCACTCAATGCTCGCTCACACTTGTACTCCCTTCACTTAATATAATATTAAACTATATAGTATAATGTTATATTTATTTTTAATATCCTCTCTCCTTATGGGGCATTTCAGGGATAATGAACCAACAATTCAAATGGAACATAATATGGTTAAGAACTGGCTAGAGGCAAACCAGTTGGCTATTTACAAGCGTGGCCTAGGATTTGAACTCGGGACTACCGAGAACAAATCTAGCAAGTGGTCAGTGCTGAACTTGAACATGGGGGCTCTAGATTACAAGTTCAGCACTCTAACTGTGCGGCCACGCTGCCTCCATCAAAAAAAATCTCAAGAAAAAGAGAAACTGAGTGCAGCAAGTGAACTTGTTTTTTAAATCAAGACAATTTGTGTTCACAAGGCATTTTGCTTTATTTTAGTGTTTTAACTGGCCAAGATTCTCTATTGTTAAACTGGGAGAGATCGTACATCATGTCCGTGAGAGGAGCCACTTGTTGAGGCCCCGCGCGTCACTTAAAGTTTCGTTACTAGTTGAACCTGGTGTACATTGAATTGTAATAAAGATTTTCTAATACCACTGTCTATTATGTCAGTTTATTTGGTCGGGATCCGTCCGTGACTTGCATTTTGTGTCATTGAGTTATGTTGTAGATTTTGTGTTTTTAGCAGGAATGTGCTTTTTGAAATTCCCCACAGATCAGATGCCCTGTCCGTAGTTGTATAGACGGATGAAAACAGGCAATTTTGAAACTATTGATGTCATATTATCTTATCTCGCTGAACAACCTCATTCCCAGGCTCCTTTCTCTTCCTGAAGAATAATTAATATTATCCTAAAAAATCGGACTTTCTCACCTGAGAAATGGCAAGCAATTGCCCCAATCATACCAAGCATAAACCTGTTTAAAAGCTGTTTGGTTAAACACGGTTTAGAATTGTTTTCTTCATAAACACTGTTTACTTCTTTTTTTTTCAGTTTAGCAGAGTTAGCACAAATGAAAGCACAAGTTAAAACTTACGTGAATTCTATGTAAAAGCCAGTCCTGTAGTTTTCTTTAACTGATTTTGTTTTGTTCAACCCGATTTAACGAAGCAAGTTTTGTTGGTGTGAATGGGCATAAGCTGATTCTGATGATTTAATTAATATCTTTTCGCACATGCAGTGATGCAGACGGGTCAAGCAGTTTGCTCTCTCTCTCTCTCTCGGTCGTCGTGGATATTTTAAGGACAGACCCCTGTAACCGGGATATGTTTGTTGTTGAATGTGATTTGTTCGTTAGGCAGCACTGTGGTCATTTTCAATATTCTTTTCTACACACCTTAGGGATTTTCAGGGATTATTTACAACACTGTGTAGGAAGGAGACTTTGCCAGACTGCTTGTGGTGCAATTAACAATTATTAATGAAGTAGTGAGTTATGAATTCCAGTGTGAATATGAAGAGAGTGAGGAACTAGAGGTGTTCACTAATAGAGCTTTGTTTAATCCTTAGTGGTTCTTTTAAGTGCACTAACAGATCAAGTCAATTTACCGTGAGATCGATACTATGGTTTTTTCTTCTTATCCAAGAAGACTAGAAAATCAGAGCATTAACAACTGCCGATACAAAGGCACTGCCACAAGTCTTTCATTCTCCTCAGTTAAATATTACTCCTGAAGGTTGGTGCAGCCGGGAATCCCCGTGTAGCCAACATGACGTGCTCGTAGAATAGACAAAAAAACAATTTTTGAATAGAAATTTATATTTCAGCTGAGAATTCATCAAAATGTTATTTGAGGACGTAATTTTCACTTTTTTACTTAAAACTTGACTTAAACGGTAACGAGATAGCCCCAGAAGAGATAAGATATCTCGGATAAACTTAAAACTACTTTTACAGGATTTGTAATTCCTTATATTTTCGTTTGAAATTCAATCAGTCGAATCCAGTGTCTGGTTACCTGCAATCAGGCGACCCTTCTTCCTTTTCTTTTTTTACTCTTCCCGTTCCCCACCTTTTTTTCCGCTTTTTGCCGAAAAAAAGAACCCTGATGGTAGGTTAGTGTCCGGTGTACGTGTGCCTTCTAAGAAGGGATAAGAATTTTCTTTCAAATTCTGACGTAACGAAGAGACTGTTTTGGGAGTACTGGTTATAATGGTCTATACAAGGAGGTTCCGCGGGAAAGGGCTCGGACCTTTTACTATGTTCATATAAAAAAACTCTACTTGAATCTTTTAGAAAAGGGATGCAGGTTGAGAGCAAGGACTGTGAGAGGGGTACCACTCATTTTTCAGTGGAACGTATAACGAAAGGGGAACCTTTCCTGTCAAAAAATGGTCAATAAATCGGTGAAAACTTGGATCCAAGAGCTCCTCGGTAAAGAACTTTTTTAGTAGCCCCCCACAGGTTGACAGAAATTTTTCCTCGATAAGGAGACAAGGTAGCAGGTGGGAGACTCGGGTCGGATTCGTTTGCGAACATTACTACTCTGTGAGTTGCCAGCAGTAAAATTTGAAATCCGAATTCACGAAGATTAGTGCCCGCGCCTTTTTATTTTTTATTACTTTATTTTTTATTTTTAAATGCATTATCTTTTATTTGTTTCTTGTACAGTAATGTAGTTGTAATGCGCAGCTGATCATTCTCATGTTAAGCTGCGCACAATAAGTTCATAAATTATTATTATAATTATTATTATTATAAACTAAACTCGTGCCTGAGGCCGGGGCCTGTGGTAACTAGTGTATGATGAGGATTGAAAATCATCAGGCCCGGCTTTTGGATCTCTTTACGGCTTAACAGGCATCAGTTCAGACACTGGCATTTCTTGTCTTTTTTACAGAAGTTCTGTCATGAGAGGACACAGAGGCTTCTTACTGGAAGTACAATCCCACGCAGGGATTTTTTCTCCGCGGGCAGCTAATCCGACTTAATCATAACAAAATTATAAGGAATTGTATGGAGCTCTCCGGGATACTTACAGTGCAAGCCCTGTGTGTCTTCTCATGTGATAAGCTATTTCCTGTCTGGACTGCCTGTTCCAGAAATAGTG